AATAGCACTCAGACTGTCAAGTGATAGGCAGCAAGTGATGCGCTTTATTGGCCTCCAGCGATTTTGGTGTTCGGTGTCTACTCTGGCAATTAGAATGCAATTTGATTATCCCGTTGGGTTAAGCTTCATAATGCCCACTCACATAATTGGTGACAGGTATATAACCGCGAGGTAATGCACTTGGAAACTGTTGCCACCTGCCCCCCACAGCATGGGGCCAACACGACTATGTTCGATGAGGGGGATGAAAGTGATTGGCGCAGTACGTAATGACTTAAACATGCTGATGTTCAAGCATATGTTCACCATGAACTGGGTCTAACCAGTCACTCTAACTTCCCCAGTCAATTATATCCATGGTGTAATCAAATTCGGCCTTATGGAAATCATGTTCCTCTATAGATCTATCAATGGGGACCTAATCGTTACAAAGGTTTATCCAACGGACACAGTGAAGAAGGTCCAACTTTTTAATTTAATTGTTATTATGCCTAACAGATTTAAGGGGAACTATCCACAGCTCTGATCAAAAGTGTAACGTCGTAACCACCAGATGAAGGTCCACCATTGTGCGTTTCTTCTCGGAAAGACACTAACAGTACTCATCTAGTTCACTAAACGACTATACCGTTTTCCATTGAAGTTGGACATTCGGGCAAAACATTTACGCCTGGGGTCAACGGGGTTGCTCCTCCGGGGCAATCAAGTTGAGTCTTCGCCATGTGGAATAGAACCACTCACTGGCATGGTAGGGGCTGTTTCATGGGCCAGGCGCCTTCAGCAAATAGGACCTCAGACGCATATCGGTAGCATGGACCTATTTGCTGAAGGCACTTGGCCAATGAAACAGCCCCTACCATGCCAGTGAGTGGTTCCATTCCGCATAGCAAAGACTCAACTTGATTGCCCCGGAGGAGCAACCCTGTTGACCCCCAGGAGTACATGTTTTGCCCGAATGTCCAACTTCAATGGAAAATGGTATAGTGGAGACAGTCATAGCAAAGGGGGGGTCGGGCAGGGGGCGGCTTGCCCCGGGCAGTATGTGAAAGAGGGTAGCACCTGAGTATCACCATCATTACACATTAGCTGAAGGTGGGAAACACACCTCAACTTTCGTGCCGCAATACCTAAGGATAGGTTATAAGAAGAAGCGAGACAATGAAAACTATAGCATGTAAAATAGGCAACACATTACTTAGTACCATGTTTGCGGGGCGGGGCCTTTAAACCGGACGTTACCGTTTTCACCGAACATCGTTTTTATAAGATTGCTACGGACACATTACTTTCTCGGAACATTTCAACGTTGGCCTTTGCCAAACTACTTCCGAGGTCACCACTGCTGTCGTTCGCATTCTTTCTGAGTAAAAGTCAAAACACTGTGCAATTGATGATCGACCGTCCAGATTAAAAATCTAGTTTGCAACTCTGGCCTGTCAACAAAAGGCAGCTTTAGATTATGCTGTCCAGAAATGTTTACTTATTGCTAGTTTATACTGCCCATTTATTCACATGACACCTGTACATACTGTCCTTTTTCCATTCATACAAATGTATCGTTCATAAAATGTAATTTTAGTCCATTCATAGTCGATATTGTAAAATGCTGAAAATGTACATATCTGGGCACATAAAGCTTATTTTGACTTGACTCGACTTGCTAGTATGCTTCAAGAGAGATCGTGGTTGGAGGAGAAGATAAGCGAAATGGGGAGGGACAAAGAAAGTTAAAACACAAACACCATTTAGGTCGGCTCCTTGTCATGTCAACTAGGGTGCTCAACCCGACGTGTCCATCTTCCTTCGGACAGTCGGGACACACCAACCGACGTCAAAATCGAAGTGAGGGATTTCATTCCTCTTGACCAACTCATCACTTGACCACCCTTCCTCTTCTTTCATCCACACCCTCGGCGCGCGAACAACGCATGACGCGGGAGTCGGTGGAGTGGCATGCGCAACATGTAGCCCGGTCAACTGAGTATAATGCAGTTTCAAAGTGTTCGGCCCAATGCTCTGAGCATTTTGATAAAAGGTGGATTGGCCGTCCACGCTGGTCACGTATCTTCTCGCTAACACTGCTCATTTCACGTGTCAAAGGGAATAACTTACAATGATTATCAGGAGCAGCTGCCATTTGCCTCTCTGATACACCATGAGACTACCACACTTTGCGGTCTCTCTACAGGGTAGTACACAGTTTCGCTATGAGGTCTTTTCGAGCCTCGTCGTGTTCGCTCCAAGCCAAAATGTCGGCAGCATCCAACGTCCAGCTTATCAGCTTGAGATGTCACATGAAAACATTGTTGTTGCCAATAACGTCTGGTGGATATGCGACCAGTAGCCCTCTACTGCGTTAAGATAGAGCTTGCTCAGTCCGGATGCTGGCGTACTTCGATACACATGCAGGACATCTAGCTACGCCAGTTTGCATGTATCTATGCACTCACAGCGACGCCGCATACGCCCAGCGAAGCCAACTGTAAGATCGGTACAAAGAATTGCGAGGTCAGAGTCCACGATCGTGCTCCAAATTGAGCGACAGATTTGGACACGGCCTCCCTAGCGGTAACTAATCGTGATGCGGTCGATTCGTGTCCATAGCTGGTTTGAGGCATGTGGGTGCTATGTCACTCTTCTGCGGCTGCTGTGTCAGGTTACAGCTCTCGAGATATATACGAGCGTCATCATACAGGTGTAGCAACCGCTCACCGTTATCATTATGGGAGCCTAAACCATGTTGGTTCCCCAGATGAAGTTCATCAGTGAACAGTTTTCCAACTTGGGCGTTCAGATAGCCAGCTTGAATCACAGTATCGGTACTTTTTCTGTGATGATAGACTTCATCATTCATCGAAGCAGCTCTATAATTTGTAGGCGTGCAGGTTGCAATGGCAAACAAGCACCGTTTGTCTACGCGCAACTTTGAAGCTCTGTGTTAGCCAGTCAATCCGGCTGTTCATTGGGATCCACTCAACCAGAGCAGCTTCAGTCCGGGAGCTCAGAGCAATGCCCAATGCCTCTTGATCAGTATTTGAAATTGCGTTATCTTCAGACAAACGCAATGAGACCACGTCGCCAGTGTTGCTTGGGGGGGGGGGATCGCAGGGTAATCACGGAACTCGCGTCTTGCAGGCGGGTTTCCGGTAAGCAGCAGATATCGATCGATACGGTCTCTAGTGTTCCGGCAAGTGCTAACTGTTGGTCAATCTGTAGCAAAGTGCCCACGTTGAGGCATGCCAGTCTCAGCGAGGAGCGGGGGTTCCAAAATGAATCGGATGGGCTAACATTGTCCACTTGATCGAACATAGACTTGTCAACTGGGCTGAAGTGAAGCACTGCGGTTGCACACGAGACAAAACTAGAAGTCACGCGACCACTGAAACAAGATGCAGTAGGGGTCATAATTGGGGGGTTGGACACATGGGGAATAACACTAAGTTGGAGTGGGTCGATAAGGATGGAAAAGAGCAAGAGAGGGGATAAAAAGACGTGAAGGCTTGAACAACAGCATGCAAACCCCTACCCACCCTGCTCGATGCAGCAGATAGTGCACCGTTGATTATCCTCTGCGACTGCTGGAGCAACAAAAGATTGATTTGAAGAAGTCATTAAGTTGTACTGCCTGGGTAAGATACTGTCAGGTTGCCCAAGCCTAGGCAGAAGAACGATTAGCGTTCTCAATCAAAGCCTTTGGTTCAAAAACCTTACCGCAAAGCAGCGGCGATTTGGCACTAGACTACAAAGAACCCGTGTTATGAACTAAGGTGCCACCCTCATTCCAACCCCCAACCTGGAGGACCAGGAGGCTGAGTTTGTCTGGCCTCTAACCATTTACCAATATAGTATGAGTGGTTATGAACGTACAAAGGCACCTCCCAGTATAGCTCAGTGAATCACTGAGGCACACAGACGATCGCATCATGTCCAATCTCAGTGTGCTGAATTTTTAGTGTCTTTGATTGTTTGATACCACATACAGAGAGCCAAATTTCCAGATAAGTTGAAGGTTAAGTATTTTAATGTCATTCCGTATGACCGTTTCGCCAATTGTCACACCTGTGCAAACGTTATCCCAGCGATCCCTTAAGTTTCCCATTGTGTTCAGTTTCCCTACTGTCCCAAATGATCATCAATTTTATCGAAAACTAACGTGCGTTTTACGCTGAGCCGGTTGTGTGACCTTCACGTACCTATTCTGCCCTCAATCAGCGCGAAAAATTTGACCACCGCCCTGGGCGGCAAAGGTAATGGCTGCGCCATTGGGTGGAGCCAGTTCCCGTATAACCTTGCGAATGAACGTGATGGAGTTCGTAGTTGAGCTTTGGACTGCTTGTTTTGTGGATGAAGCGTAACACACCGAGACAGCGACCATAGTAATCACATTCTGCGTGCTGTTCACTCCCTGCACTACAATTCCGCGTCGGTTTTATACTTACTTAGACTTTTGCTGGAAATAACCAGCTTGCGGGATTTCGGATTGGGTCACAATGCTCCTGCAGGATAACTTCGACTTTTGTTACCCACATTTCTAACACAAATACAAATACGTGAATTGTGTCAACAGAAGTAGGTCCATATGTCTCTCGCACTGCTTAGAACCAGTAACAGTTAAACATCTGAAGAATGCTTTGCGCCTTAATAACGTCATAATCGGGAAAGCTCCTTTGTAACCACGGTTTTATGGCCATTGAATGAATGCGTCATCACCGAATGTTCATTTTTCAAGCGAGCATCAAGCACCAATTCGCTTGACTTTTTTCTGTAAAGTGTTCTTTAGTGTGACAGGAATGAACTTAATTCCCAGCAGTATGGCGAATAACGACAGTACTTCAACCCTGTTTATTCACATGTGGAAGGAAATTAAAAATTATTGTAATGGAACATAACAATAGTCTTTTGTCTGGAAACAGCGATCGATGCGTACATTTAAATAGGAAGCTAAAACCATTTTCGATAGTGCAGCATTCTGATATCACTCATCAGTCTTCATTGTTTAGGTTGAAACCATCAAAAGACGAGAGGCCGAATTCGCACGCATACGTCGTGAATTTGACGAGTTTAAGGAAGCCCATGAGGAGACCTTGAATAACCTACGACGGAGACAACAGACTACTCTTGCTGAATTGACGACAGAGATGGAGGGACTGCAACGGGCTAAAACCAAGTTAGTAGCATGGATCGTTGCATCAAGTACTTTTGTAAATCTATACGTTGACTAAATAGCACCGTGTTAGCTGATTTTCCTCCCTTAATGTTTATATCGGATGCAGGTAAGATGTTGAAAGTTTATCGAATGCTTACGGTTGGATGGAATTTTATAATAGACCATTTCTCTCTAAAGTACTTTAACTTCGTAAATTAGCTAATTTTCACCCCTGGCGGGACTAAATCATGTTCTACTCTTCAAGTCATATGGGATACGAATAAGGAAGCCACTGCATCCATCTTCCTAAAACGTTGTATTATTATACGTGCTTTGTCTCAGACGACTTGTCTGCGCACTCTGTCACTCGAGAATGAAGTCACATCAGGCTGTAGCACAGGTATTGTTGCACTTCATGTAGTTGATATTCAAAACATATTTAACCACCTGAGTGTTCGTGTTCTGCTTGGCGTCCTACCAAAAAGAGGTACTTTCCACTTTGTATCTAGGTAGTAGCTTCTCTAGCATACTAAGCTTGCACATCGCTTAACCTGTGATAATTCAGAACCACTTTATCTTGCAATCTAGCCTAGCGGATAAACCCGTTTTGACATATATGCTTTTGAAGTAGACACAACTTAGTCGTCGGTGTAAAAGTGACTGATGTTTACATCGGCAGCGAGAAATTTACCATCCTGACAGGCATCCAAACATCCAATTTTACCCGTCACTGTATACATATGTATCATAAATATATCCTTAATCTATGATCACTATTATATATTATATTACTAAATGTATTATATATTTAGAGTGAGGGAGATATGTATAACTCCTAAGTTTATATGCCCCCAAGTAGCTGCAGGATCCTTTTTGTTACAGGCCATCTACCAATTCTAACGGTCTGTGAAACACCTCGTTATTGTTAATCGGCTGTAGCTTTGCTTAAAGCTGCTGCTTGATTGTAATGGAAATATAACAGCCCATCAGAAGGGAGTTACTTTATGAAGTCATAACTATTCTGCACCATACATGAACTGGTCATTTCATTTTTGCAGGGCGGAGAAAGATCGCTCGGAGCTGGCACGTCAACTGGAAGTGGCTTTCACAGAGGCCGAAAGCGCGAATAAAGCGAAGGTAAGATTCATCGCAGCATTGAGTCCGTGCCATTGAGGAGTGCTCCTCACATTGGTAGACAGCCGTCAAGGGGGACAAAGACTGAAGCTCAATCACACACACACACAATGGATTTATACCGTCACGTTTCATCGCCTATGTGTTGCTAGTTGTGAAAGTAACACATTGAACGCTGGCTGGATTTTTGTCAGGCCATGGTAGCGGAATAGTTTCATTTGACCTAGATACCTCCGTAATTCATGCATTGCTGACTCTGGGTAGGTGAAGTTAGACCGGAAAGGACAAACAAACACTTCCATGCTGTCCAAATTACCCCTTGCAGAGTGTGACACCTTTTCCCTCGGAACAAATTAAAGCCCGCCTAATCTCATGGTAAAGTTAGTTGTTTAGTTTCCCGGGCAGTAAAATTGAACTGGCTACAGCACTACAGGCGCTGTCTCGTAACTGCATAAACACAACTACTTGAGCCCTCTGACTTGGGAAAGATTATGAAAGACAATTGAAGAAATGGCATTTGCAACATTCCACCACATATGTGTGTCTAAGTACTTTGCTTTCATGCAGGACACACGGTTACAAGCGACTGACAGAAGACCAGCTGTTCCCCAGCGTATTTTTGATGTGCACCTCAATCAACTGAACAGCTGTGGTCATGAAGTCAAGGGAAAGACTGCGAATGCAGCTTCTGTGTAATCAAGCAGTGGGCACGATGACCCAAAAGGACGTATATCCTCTGGTCCCACTGGATTCGCATTGCTAGTAGAGAGTATTCCCGCAGAGCCTAGTTCCCAGTGGTCATAATACAAAGTTGATATAGTTGAATATTCTGTTGCATTAGGGTATGCTGCATACGATTGCTAGACCACGACGAACAGAAAACGATGCGGAAATGCAAGCAATGACGGATAAGATGATGCTACTTTTCTCTAACTCTGTGTCCGATTCTGGTTTCGGTTGTTGCTAGAGTGCACTAGAATGATTTGTGTCCTGTAGGAGCGGAGTGATTTATCATTTGTCAACGCTTCGAGCGGTGTGCCACCTTTGAACTTATTTCAAACAATCACATTCCGTTGAAGTGGTTTTTTGCTGCGGACAGGACAGAGAAAGCAGAGTTGCTGTTCGGTAACCAACTGTTCCAAAGTAGATATGAGCGAAACATCGCATTACGTCAGCAGGAGCAATTTTACGCATATCATCAGAGCCTTCAGCTGTTCAAGTTATCATTATGTTGACATTTAGCAGAGGCCGTTTTGCTGTGGTGCTGTCAGCGGACATGGAAACACGGAAGAACAGAACAGAACAATAAAACGGAGGAGGGAAGATGGGAAAGGAAAACATATCCGGTCGAATTTATTTTTTAAAAGCTAGAACATCGTCCCTAACAGGCTATCAATGCCTGTTTTTGGACTTGACTCAGTATGCCGAATTTGCTTAACAGTATCCGGTTGAAACTGCTTGTAAGATGCATACAAATAGTGCACGCATTCAGTTGAAGTAAGGTTTGTAAAGTATAACAATCAGGATATCACCGCGACTCCTAAAACATCGTGTAGAAAAAGTCCTTGAATGTGACATATGTACAACCCTTGTAATCGTTCGATCACATCTCCATAGAAATCTACCTAAACAGTTCTTTGCTGATTTCTAAAACCCTCAATCCTAATTAAAGCTGTTCAAAAAGCTAACTGACACTCTGTGATCCACATGAGGTGAAGGTTTGCCCGTCACTACAGCTGTTTAATAGGATAACTGGTATTAACTAACTCCGCCCAACAGTAACAACATCGACTCCATATATTCAACATAGCTTAGCTGATTCGGTATGAATAATGAGCAAAAGGTTAGGGAGGCCAACCAAGTTGATACGTTTCATAGTACAAATCAACAGACCACGTCAAAGTGTCTACCCATGCATAATGACAACCTTGGGAAGCAACTGAAAATAACCACTAGTCCACTTCACACCAAATGGACACAGCATTTATCCAACCGGGCAATGTCATTGTTGTCGGTGCCGTCGAAACATTCAGTAGACAGGGACCAAGGAGATGGGTTACGTGAGTAAGAAATCAATGTGCCAGAGTTTAGTGCAAATAGGTCAGTGGATGAAGGCGTCTCCGAAAAATGAGAAAGAATGTTAACGAGCTGAGTTGGTCAGGGGCGTTACCAGGTAAGCAATAGCCAGGAATAGTTGTTAAGCTAGGCTACTAGACCATCTAAGGCTATCGTGTCGGCAGTGCCAACAACACTAAGGGGAGCTGCGTGGCGAATATAACATCGTGGTGCGTGATAGCCCTGTGTCACCAAACACATGTATTTGTACTTATTTTACTCTACTCCAGGGAATCAAACATGCACTTGATCGTTTCTAAGCTCAGCGCAACGTCCAGGTATAACCATCTTCGCAGTAATCCGGATCGGTGGGCTTAATCGTAAATTGTCCTACACAAAATGACAATATGCAAATCTAGATTGCGAACACTTCCTGCTGCCGTAATAACCGCTCTCGGCCTTCATCGACGAGGACATCCTAGTGCTCTGTAATTACAGTGGGTGGCAGTCTCACGATTCGGTGCTCTGACCATAAGTAGCCGTCGGCGTGTCACAGATGTTTGCAAGCTAGTTAAAAAGCACAAAGTTTAAGATTGCCCCACCCTCTAGAATATGTAACCGTATGTTTGCAACAGCTTCAAACTTTTTGACTAATTATGTGGTTATATCCCGTTTTATCAATGGTGTATACATAAGTCAGCTGCCATGAGGCCGCACTTTAACTCGGCTCTCGCTTTTTCTCTCTGTGGCCACTCTAATTCTCTCCACACAATATTGTGCGTGCGCTCGTTCGAACCAGTTCGACGAGCTCTACTCAGTGCTTTCCAACTCTTGGATCTAACCTGTGTGGATTATACTCTTGCTTTAGTCCCCAGTTTTCGGCAAATTCTTTGCCGAGTTCTACGTGCGTAACTATATCTAACCGAATTTTCAGAAAAGATTTTGGTCTCATTCGGAAGAAGAAGCTGAGGGATCCCAAACTAATCGGAAACTATCCTTGCAAGTTGCAGCATAACAAAGTTACAGACTTTTTGCTCCGCACATCAACTGAACAGCTCTAGGGACGCTTATCAGCGCTTCACTTGCATCGTCGCTTAAGGCAGGCCGATCAACACACGCTGCTGCTTTGTGTGGGTGTGTGTTCAACTGCGAGTCGATTGATCGCTGAAACCGACAGTCTGCGCGTTACGACCTCCATCTGCCTCTCCGCCTGACCTTGGTTCGATTGAACAACTCTCATTTCATGTGCGTGTTATGACGTGTTTGCGCGTCAAATAGGCGTTGCTGTAAACAATAAGAGGGCGACTAGCATTCCAATGGTTCAGCGTCGCCTATGTTGCGCAGACAATTGCATTAAAGTCCTTAAACTCGGTGTAACCTGTTCTAGCTGCATTAGCTCTTACTGTCCGCAATGTGTAGGTAAACCAGTCCAAGAAGTGCGACAGACAAACAAAGTTGCTGACACAATTTGGTTTTGCGCAAAATGTCAAGTCATTCCAGTTGTCAACTGTTTACCTTTGCTCAAGAAAAAGTGCGATAGAATGACTGAGATGATCGCGCATTTTGTAACCACTAAGAGCGATCCCACGGAGGTAAATATGGCCATGATAATACTTCACCCAGCCAAAGTAAGCTCTGAATCTTAGCCGAAGGAGAGAGTTAGACGCTGCAACCGCACTGCAGCGTCTGTGACTCTAAAATCCACTGGGTCACCTCACTACCATAAGTCGGCAAGCCTCAAACATGCCTGATTCCACTTCTCCAACCGTAGAGGCTTCACTTGGAGATTCAGACATGACACCGACAGCTCAGAGTCGAAGGCAATCCGGTGCAGATAACAAGAAGGTAACCTACACATCGACTGTCTCTATAAACACACCGGGAGCGACAAACTTAGGTCCATCTTCTGTACCGAGCACGCGTGGCGCAACGCAACTTTCACCGTCAACTCCAGTGGTGCCTTCCAAATAACCCAAACTGCCGGCAAATACTAGAAAGCCGACACAGGCTAGAGAAAACCACGCTGCGTTACGTCCCGTGTTCACCAATGCTCCCGAATCCAAATCTTGCACAACAAAAGGCAAGTTGTAAGACGATCGCAACCAGTGGCTTTCCATCTGCGATGTGATTGGTATTCGGATAGAGGCTGCAATGCGGCAACGCGTAACGCGTCACCCGACCTCAGTGCACTCTGGTGAACCTCGAATTCTTCGAATTACACTAGACTCAGCATACGAGACAGAGGTTGTCCTGCTCTCAGCCGTTCGTCTTCGCAACTCACCGAGCGGAGTGCGCATATTACCTGATCTACCTTGGAAAGATCGTCCGAAAGAAGCAGTTGACCAAAGAAGCATTCCTAATAGGGATAGCAAGAAATCAATCTTTGTTCATGGTGTTCCCGAGCTTCTGCATTCTTCTGATCACAATGCGCAAACACATGACCGAGAGCAGTGCTGCTACATCCGCGAAGCACCCTCTGTTGCTAATATTGTTGCCAAATCCCTGACAAGAGGTCCGTCATTACCTAAGTACCAGGGCTGCGGTCCAAGACTAATGAACGTAATATTACACTCCGAGGGAATGACGTAAGTTCTTTTGGATAGCTAGTGAAAATTTCGAGCAAGATTGCTAACAGAGATCCGGCTAAAGGCAGCAGGCGCACGGCCAAAAGTCGGAAGCAATTCGATAGAACACAGTCCTGCACAGTCCTGCGGAGAGACCGACACAACAGCACCCACGGCACACAACAGGAAAGAGCACAGCACGAGTGAAACGTCTGTTCAGGAAAGCTCAATAATGCCATGCAGCTTGACAGAAATTCCTTAACCAAAAAACGAGTAATGGCTGGCCACCTAACGGCTGGCTTAAAATCAAACACAAAGTTGACATCATCAACGCCCTTCTAACAACAAAAACCTTATCTTACATGTACACAAACGCGCAAGGCCTTCTAAGTAAGTTGGCCGAACTTAGGGAAACCCATGCCTCACAACCGCGGGACCTCGTCATGATTAGAGACATGGTTACCCCCTTAGATAAGCGATTCTGAGATCAATTTACCCAGTATGTCACTGCTTCGGACCGATAGAACCGGAAGGGGTGGCGGTGTGATTCTAGATTGTAATACAAACCTACGATGTGAAGTTATCGATTAAACGGAAAGCCGAGCTCCTGATTCGCTTTGGTGCCGCGTATGGTTGCGAAGCAAGGACACATGTCTACTGGCTGTGATGTAGTGCCCACCAAACTCAACATGGGAAATGGACTCCAAACTGAACCAGGTCTTTCAGTTAGCTTTGAACAAGTCCTACACCCACATTCTTATCACTGGAGACTTTAACGTGCACAACATAGAAACGTCAGTAACGGACGGTACGCAGTTTAAAGCCTGTTTGCAAGAGCTAATTGCTAGCCGCCCTCTGTACAACCACGTAACCTCTCCCACCAGATTTCGAACCGCTAACAAGCCGTCGATACTGGATCTTGTGCTAACTAACGAGGAACTCATGGTTGACTGGATAGGTACAATTAGACCACTGGATTGTAGTGATCATGTTACTCTACTGTTTGGCAACGTGTGCTGTGCGGAGTATCCTGAAAAGGAGGATGATAAAGTGCATACTGTTATGCATTATACTGTGTTAGCTACGCTTGTTAAGAATACATCTTGGACTGTATTAACTTAATGCCCCCCAGATGTTGCCTGCGAAATATTTACAAGGACGTTTAGCACACTGGTTGCGCACGCATCGGAACAAAAATCCCACCGACCCAAAAACAAGCATACGTCATTTCTGAGGAGCAGAACACGTAAATGTATGTCCCAGGGGGATTTGGCATAGCGAGATCACCAGAACTGCTCGAATGCCGAAACCTGGACTGGCTACGTGACACATCGTAACTTTGGTATGAAACTGGTCGGCGAAAACAAGGTCATGCATCAGCTGGAGTTAATGGAGCGATTCTGCATAAACCGCATACTGCTGTACAAACACGTTATCGGCCTTGGAAAGGTGAAGCGGAGAATTCCTGCACTAGTCCCGGCTGATGGGTACACGCGAACAGCAATGGAAGCAGCTGATCTCCTACGGCTTCATTACTCCCAAACTTTCCAGCAGGTAACGAGGCCAAACATTCTCCTCGTTTCTATAACTCCACCATCGGGTTTAGACAACATCACTATTACTTTGGAAGCTGTGTTGAAGAAGTTTTTATTCTTGCGTATCCACAGTTCTCCTGGAGTCAACAACATCTGACCAAAGGCTATTCAGGCGGGAGCTAGTGATCTAACAAACCCATTGGCTGTTTTCTATTAGCGATGTCTAGAAGAGGACCATATTCCACCGGTATGGAAGCGAGGGGTCATCGCTCCTATCCATAAAGGAAGTAGCCGCACTGATCCTGCCAATTAGCGTCTAATATCACTACTTCATGTACTATCCAAAGTGATGGAATCAATCGCCACAGATGCGCTGATGCAGTATCTGGAAGCCAACCAATTAATAGCCCCAGAGCAGCATGGCTTTCTTCAAAATCTTCCGTGTAATACCAACCTATTAATTGCTCTTAATAGCTGAACTGAAACTGTTGATGTTGGAGAAGGAGTCGATGTCAGCTACATGGACTTCTCAAAAGCGTTTGATCGCTTAGACCATCAAATTCTCCTTCAGTAGCTTCGGAACAACGGCATTGGCGACCCAATCCTGAGTTAGATTAGCGATTTTCTACACGAACGACGGCTAGCGGAGAAAGTCCGAGAATCATTGTCCGATGCAATCGATGTGGTGTGTGGGGTGCCACAAGGCTCGGTGCTTGGACCTCGTTTATTCTTAGTGTTTACTAACGATTTGGCGAGATCAATCGCTTCCAATTTCCTATTTTTCGCTGATGATATCAAGATATGGCGAAGGATCAGAGGACCGGACGACCATGAACGGCCCTTGTGCGATCTTAACACAGTGTCAAACTGGTTAGTTAAAAACGCTGTACCATTCAACGTAGACAAATGTCGCGTTGTACAATTACGCCATAGACATGACTACACCTGTTTGCTTGGGACAAACGGATTGCAGACAAGCTCCCAGGAATGTGACCTTGGTGTGCTCGTACAGAGTGAGCTCAACTGTTCAAAACAGGTTGAGGTAGCCGCGAAAAGAGGTAATCATCACGTCGGCTTACTGCGAAGGGCATCGGGAGAGTTGACCCATCAATCTTCCCAATGATGCACAATTCCTACGTGCGCCCGCATGTTGAATACGCTATCAAAGCCTGGCAACCTTGGTTGAAGCACGACCTAGAGGCGTTAGAGACACCACAACGAAGAGCAACAAAGAATGTAAAGGGCTTGCGCTATCACTCTTACCACCGAAGGCTGAAGTTGCTGGGAATTTTCAGCGGACGCTATCGAAGGCTGCGCGTCGATCTTATATTAGTGTATCACATATTGAGTGACCCCAACCACGTATGCCGCCATTTGCTGAAACTTAGCCCCAACACGCAGCTCAGGGGTAACTGCTTAAAATTGAAGGAACAATATAGCCGTCTAGAGTGTCGACGGAATTACTTTTTCTTTCGGTTTTTGCTAACCCTGGAATGCACTCCCAGACTCAGTTGCATCTTCCCCTACCTTGAACATCTTCGAAAAACGATTAGATGTTGCGCTTAGCTCCCAACACTTTGTTATCTAAACTCCTCAATTGTGGATTACGCCAAGCATAATTTTCGACAGGATTGATGTATCAAATGGACCCAAGTGAGCGATCATATTTTACTTTTCTCACACCTTATATCAACGACCACTGCGCCACGGTGTATTTCGGAACGTTTACGCTCGCTTTTTTTTAATTTTACACTGATTTACTTTATCAAATTATTCATCTCGGCAGACGTTCGGTAGAAGACCCACATATATTTTGATTTCATCGTATTCCCCCCAACTATCATACGGGAGGTGTCAAGCATTTGCTTTTATCCCATGATAAAGCGTTGTTCATTGTTCATCATTTATTGCAAAAGAAGTTTGGTAATTGGCCCCTCCCAAAGTCTTGTGTATGCAATCTAATTAACTCCTAGAGTATTAGCATTTGAAGGTTCTCTTGGGAGATTTATGGAATACACCAAAAGGTGAAACACATTAGAATAATGTATCTGTTCGCTTACTCTATGAGTTACAAAACCACGTTTCGCTCCATCACTTCAGATATGGTCGCTTTTTGAGTACGCATATCAGCTTGAAGGCCTACGCTGGTCTAATGACAAAAATAATAATGAGGTATAAAAGTTGGCCACTTGTTCACCCGGTTGTGAGATGCGAGCTGTAAGATTTCTCCGCAAATACACCGGCCTCCATTGAGGATGCGGAATTCATAGGTTCTGTATAGTTACCGCAATTATCTGAGTGGTTGTTGCTTTAGGTAACGTAATCTATTTTCTTACGAATAAGTTGGCAATTGTGCTTCACACATTTTGCTGAACTATAAACTGATGGGGACATTTCAGTTACAACCTCACGAAAGCTTTTAAATCATGAGCCATCAGCCCTACTACAAGGTAATTAGATGACTCAAAAAGACCGATTTTTTCTACAAACAAGATTTACTTTCCCGCCCAATCTGGGAGAAAAAGCTGTGGTCTTTAATAAAGATATTTTCACCATCCAGCCGCACATTGGTGGTCATCATCTCACAGCTCCTTGGACTAGATCACTAAATTGGTACTTGCTTCACCCTAATTCTCTTCTCTCAAGAATGTGCTATCTTGCTTTTATCTGCTACCTGTGAGGTGTCGCATGCGGTAGTCTTCAAGCTTCAATATAATACTAACCTTAGTAAACAGGTGAATTGCGGAAACACATTATCCTTGATCATTATGTATCGACTGATTGAGATTGGCTTTTGGTTTCTTAAAAATTCACCCCTTGAATATTTGTTACCATCTGGTACAGGCTGCCGTTCTGGCGAAACAGGAGTCACTAGAAGCTCAGGTCATTCGGCTTCGATCGAACTACGAAGACTGCCAAAAGCGAATATCTGAACTGAATTCTCAGAATGCACAATTGATTGCGGAGACTGCTGAATACGCGCGTACCGTGGAAAAGCTGAATTCCAACATCACCACTTCACAAAGGGCTCAACTCAATGCTGAGTCTTTATTGAGTGAACAGAAGCGCACTTTGGAAGAGGAAGTGAAGGTATGGGTGTAAAATTTACTTGCTTTGATTTAATGACGAGTACTGATTTCCTTTCGTCATTCAACCACGGCTGAACCGTAGTGCGCACTGGGTATGAAGTGGACGCACTTGCATACAGCTAGGTTGTCGCAAACTATTCGAAGAATCCGCGTTAACCAAAACTCGAGAATTGTGGCAGAGAGATTTTGTCCTGTCAAGTGTCCCTGTTAAGAGTGTACTGAACCAAGTCTGTAGCAACTTTTCCACGCCGTGCACGCGGAAGTACCGAGCAGTTAATGGGTCTGATCCAGCAGCAGCTGTGTCACGCTTATTCAATCGGAGTGCAGTGGCACAATTAAAAGAACATCAACCCGGTACTTACCGTTATACCCGCTACTGATACAAAATCCAGTTGCACCCAGTGAACATATCTGCACCGAATCCACTGTAATGATATCACCACCCCAGGTATGATTCCCACAAGATGACCAATCGCTGCCAATGTTCGCAGGGTGTACAAATTATGTGACGGCATGACGTTTACGTGTGATCTCATTATGGAGTGATCTGCGTCCATCCACGTCATAGTGGGTATCTCGTATAAACTCATTTCACGATTCATATCAATAGATGCATGACAGAAGTCGATTGTGCATGTGATGAATACTTCAATTAACTTTCCTGGACCCCAGGACGCGGTTTGTCTACACGACACCCCTAGGACCCTAGGGTTTCGTTACACTCAGTTCACAAATGGGCACCATACATGTTAAGACAGTCTAAACCGAATGTGACTCATTTCTTACTCCCGCACGCCTGCCTGCGAGGTTACCTCCATCAAATTTTCACAGGACGCGTGGTTAATGGGCAATGCTGACACAAGGTATCGGAAGGGTTGGCCCAGGCGTCCACAGTCAGGGTGACGCGTGTCGTTGAGCGTAAGAACATGTCGTGCTTGGCGGCGTTCGGTTAACATACTCCCACTTCTAAGAAGTGTCGGTGTTTAGGCGACTCATTTGTGTGAACTGTTAAGTGGATGCATCATGACATGCAATAGCAACTAGGATTTGGGTTCAATTCGAAATTAATTAAAACGGACCAAGTCTCAGTTCAGGGCAAACCGGAGTCAGGATTGTGACTGCGTGTTACAGTCCATTCGCACTCACGATTCACTCAAGTCATTCGACGCTTGAACAAACGTTGCGCGCAGCTCGGAAGCCAGCCTTATCTGTAAACCTCAAACAAGCACGCAACCAGTCATGGTGTGCAGTGTTAGCGGCGATTTAAATCCAACCGTTTTTTGGCCAACACTCAGCTTGCATAGTTATCAAAATGGTTCCCGTTGTCCTGCTGGAGTCGGTTTTTTCGGATATTAACCTCTATGCATGCCCACAATGGAGACGGGGACGGTATATCACGCAACAATGACAACTAATTGCATTGTTGTCTTGTACTTGCTGGGCTTGGCGGGACGGAATGCCACGAACGTTATTTTTGACTAAAATGGGTTGGGGCTGAAAGATACAATGATTTCACTTTCAAAGCGAATATGATCATTGTATGCACATCGCAGCGGCAGCCACAAAAATGAAAAAAATGTAGACTAACATGAATACGTAGTACCACCTTCTTTACTCAATATTTTGCAGCGAAACTAAAATCCAATATCACCTATGTTAGATGAATTATTCCGTATGACGCGTAAGAGGAATATACTAAAAGTTTATCCAAGGATACCATAACCGTCCCAAATGCATTTTCCATCATTTAAGAGTGAAATGATAGAGAATAAACCTGGTGGTGCGTTAGGTATATTTTGCTCTCCTACTAATCACTGTATAGTACCGTTCCCACATCTTTCCTGCAAATATTCATCAACGTTTTTACAAACTTCAAGGTAACTCGAAGTAATATACTCAGTTATACCTCATTGATATGGACACTCAAGCTTGATTGCCAAAGAGTAAAACCTTGTTCATCATGCAACTTTCCATTGCAGCACATTTAGGGAAACTGTAACATTAATCCCTCAGTCAATATAAATCTGTCATAACAAATTTGTTCGAATATGACTTATCATCTTATTGGTTACGTCGGGCGAATTTTAACAACGACACGGAGAATGGCATTTCTCTCACAGGGTGCTCACTTGCACCGCAAAAACTAAACGATTTTCTCTACAAAATGTATGCTAAACGAAACTGTTTTACACGGATCGGAGGGGTAATTTTAATGCATCCGTTGTCTGAGGCACGATTTCGTATCACAAAGAACTATTTTGCGGCTGGGTGGACCGTATACACAATGTTTTCTTGCTGCTGTTTTGCGAGGCAGTGTCGCCAGTCACGTGGGTAACTTTCGATCGCCGTGCGTGTTGAGGGAGGCACACGAGGTCGGTGACAATGTCCTACAAGTGCTACCGCAGTTACAACCAAAGCCGACTGAGGTCGGCGCGACCTCACTGGCGTGGACGATGGCCAACTAGCTATCGAGCAGGCCGGTGGAAAGCTGTTTTCGTGAGCGCGGTAGAATTCAAGCCAGTTTGGCGGGTGTTTTTTATGATGGTTGCTATATATGCTTCAGCCATCACTCGGAGTGTCCGATTCGTGTGAGAAAGCAATCGCTGGTAGCGCTAAAAGTACTCTATTGGATGAAGATACAAATGGTGTTATGTACTCGAAACTACGGTGGATGCGCGCTTGGATAGCTGTGAGAATCTCTTTGAAATGGCAATAACGGATGAAACGGTGCTGTGTGCTAGACACTTCTGCTGTGGTAGATCCACTGGATAGCGCTGGTAAACACAAGTTGGATAAGTGTAAGCACAGTAATGTGCATCGCGAGTGAGATATCCAAAAACAGAAAAGAGTCGATTCAGTACGACAACGCGGCGTGAGACACACACACACGCGTAGCTTCAACTTAGAGTGCAGTTATCCAGTCTAGGGTACAATGTTATCACCTGAGTATCGATTGGGCCCCCGATTGAGTCAGGACAAACTACGTACCGTAATACTTTGAAAGCACGGAGGAAAATCATTTTGTCTTTCTCCGAGTTCTAACCGCTACTTTGCATGGCACTGTCATCCATGTTCGTTCCGCTACACCGAGGACTCAATGATACTAGACCCTTCGTTTTAAGGCGATCTGCTAATTCAACTCAGCAGGGTGACGGTGCCTTCTGTTTCTAATAAATTGCGCTAATTCGCACGTTGGGAATTTCAGTGTATTGGTTAGCGTAAACCTAATGTCTGACTGCTTTGCTTTCACCAATGCCTCACTTATCGCCGGTCCATAGCCTTAAGGATCACCACCTTGCCTTGTGATGAAAGGGCGTGGGTTTGAGCCTAATTAAGGACCATGCGACCTATTTGCGATTGGTGGTGGTTGCGTGGCACCGAAGACTCGGTACTGTGTGCCGGCGTACTGCTGATGCATATTTTCTACACACTTCACCAAAGTTTACGTGGGTTGAAGGCAATCTGCACAGACGTGTGACATCACCGCCTGAGAGGTACAATGATAACCAGTGTATCCATTTAGACCAGAAAACAGGTTTTGAACTCAAACGTATCCGTTACAACCGATGTACACCCTTTTGGGCGTAAATATGTAGTAGTTGTTGGTGTACGGATTACCCAAAATACATGTTGCCTTCACAGTGAACAAGCCCAAAGTGACCGCACCCAACGGATGGGCAAAATAGGTGGCTTGGCGAGAACTATCCGTGGGCCCGCCCTTCCTTTCGGATCCTATCTAAATTCGAGAGCATAAGTCAGTGAAGATGGACACCACTCTTTCAACACATCTGTTACTGCCGAAATAAGGAGATGCACCTACGGTGTGTACGCAAGGCTTTGGCCACGCCGTGGCCCGGTACACGGTGGAAGCATTCTGAGGGTTATGAACCGCTAAGAGTCTTCATTTTTTCTCATCTACCAATGACAACCAGTTTTCTAGAGCTATAAATAGAGACAGTGGCACTGAACTTGTGTGCGCCTTGTCGGTATTCGTATCGAATGCCACCAGATCTGACACATCAACCGGAGAGGAACGTCAAACGTCCGATCGTTCACTCGGACTCAAATAAGGTTAAGCCAAAAGGGTTGACGATGTAATCCATACCCAGCATTAGTCGAAGCCCGGTAGGTATTGAAAAGATAAGCCATGCCAACGTAGCTAATCTAGATTAACTACCAACTGTTCGACACAGGATTTTCGCAGTCACGCTTTGTCATATAGAGAATTAACTCACCATTAGAAAACGTGTGCAATCCATACGCGCAGTATTCCTGAATTCGAACATTTAACTGCGCTGATAGAACCCGATTCTTAGGGAGGGTTGTCAAGAACAATGTAGTCCCATTTAATGTACTCTGGACAGCGCTTTTGGTAATCTGACTCTGCATCGAAAACAAACAAGTTAACGGTCAACCTAATATTTTCTGCTTCCATCATTTTTATTAAGTCTCACCGATTGTTAACAACGACAGTTATGAAATGTTGCAAAATTACGTCAAGCACATAGACTACAGAAAACTGCAATCGTTGGCCATGGACACGGGATGCAGAATATTAGAGTACAATTACAGACGGCTACCTACCAGTAGGAACCGTGCACGGAGCAAGTATGCTATGGTCTCCGAGCATAAGCTTGGGTAAACGGTTGGCAGTTGCCATCTGCTAGCTAGTCACGTGCTGCCCTCCCGATAGATTATGTGTATTGAATAGCATTATTCAACGTCGAATAAAAATTATCGCCTCAATAACGAGCTTCTGGATTCATCTGATTTTGATTTATGCAGACAGTAAAGCGTATGAATGGAGCAGTAGATGGCGGTGCGCAACTATTCAATGGGCTTTTCGAGATGTAGTCATCTCGGCAGCGGCTGGGGTGCATAGATACGGATGCTACCAAATGCTATTAGTATTCATGGCCTGCCGTAAGCAATTGAAACACGAGGATATAATTCCACTACGTAAACTATGCGGCCCCACGTCAATCATAGAACACTGAATTCTGGTAGCGCATTTTATTATTCTTATTCTTATTTTATTTTTATTATGTTATTATTTTATTTTTATTTTTTATTTTTTATTTTTTATTTATTATTATTATTATTATTTATTATTATTATTTATTATTATTATTATTATTCTTATTATTATTATTAGAGATGAGGGACCCACATAACTTGGGACGACAGCTTGGAGGGGTTTCAAGGAAATCCGGACGTGGACTCCATAGAGCTCTTGGTATCTCTTCACATACATTTCGTACGTTTTTGAGCTGATTCAACCCAACTGGTTGGCACTTACACTATTAGGGAGTGCTTGGGCGACTGCACCTGACCACAGCAAAGTTTGTTGCAACGCAGCACGGATCTTCTCGATGTCACTGGTGCAATAGCCAATCTGGTCGCGGATGCTGTTGTGATGGCCCATCCGATGTTTACTGTGTTTTAATAGCGGTTTTCCATTCATCTGACTTCTTTTCTCCCTAGCTGTTAGTACTCAGAGTCGAGGTCAATCCACTTGGTTCTGTTCGCTTCCTTTCTTTGTAGTCCATGCGTGGGAATTCCTGTTTAAGTTTAATCATAGTTATGTCCGCCCTTGTTGACGTGCAAAGAAACCAGTGGTTTTGCATGCTGATTTGTGTTCCTCAGTTATTTTCGACACATATCTCCCGTTTGGTCCATAAAGCTCTTTTCAGTTTTGACACAATCCTGTGCATAACATTTCTTTGTTCGCGGAGTATCGGTTTTCTTCTGGGTCTCGACTGAGTTTCCCACAACGTGACTATGGGTATTTGGGTCACAATCAGGGGCGTGGTTTGAGCAGCCGGGTTGTCTCTCCGGATAGGTTTTGCGCACATGGCATTAGGATCCGGCATCCGTTCCTAGATGGCGTAGCTTCAGCGTTTAAACTCCTGTGATTTAGATACCTGGGAAGAAAATTGTAAGGATGCCTGTAGCGGAAAAAGACGTGACCAAGTGCTTCTCTTTTTTATGTTTTTGCTTTCATAGTACCAGAAGGCGATACTTTCCAAGGAAATAGAATACACTCGCAGTTCGTTTTATGAACTTGGGTGATTGTTACTGAAACTTAAGATCTAGTCTTTGTATTCGCTTTCTGGAAACTATCTTCATGCCTAACATTTCTAAGAAGACAAGCTTGCCTTCAGCTTCAGATTTCATTGTGAATTGAATTCCGTGTATTACATTAGCAATACAACGGTATGTAGTTAGCCCCCGTTTATACTTGTTGGTGACGAACGTGTCGTCAATATATCGGTCCGAAAAGGAACAGACTTATTTGAAGCCCGATGTTCTACAAGGAACTCACTAACGAAGTGGATTGATCACGACTATGTGTGCCAACAGCTGAAGAGAGAGGAAGTCAGACGAATAGAATACCACTGCTTTATACGTACAGTAAACAGCCAATCGGCCACCGCAACTGCACCCGAGACCAGATTGGCTATTGCACCAATGGTATCAATATGGTCCGTGCCAGGTTGCAACAAACTTTTCTGTGGTCAAGAGCAACCGCACAATCAAGCCGAATAGAATAGCTGCCAACTAGTGGGGTTGAGTCTGATTAAAATCTTCTGAAGTGTATGTAAGGAGCAGTCAACTAACCGGCGGCATCCCCCGCCACCGCTGCTACTCACTTAAGATGTCATTTTAGTTGGTGACGAACTTGTGTAAGTAAATTACTAAGCTGGAAGAACAGGCCAGTAGTTCAGCACTCAACTAGAGCTGTCAGTATGCTGACTTATTACAACCCACATAAATGTATCAAACCTACGAAACCCTTACTGATAAATGCTTCTCGAGATGGGATATGTAAAACACCGACGTATGGTAACGAGCTCGCGCTTCCAACTATGAAGCAGGCGGGGTGTTTTACTTAGAAGAACACGCATTGCTTAATTTAGGATGATAGCATCTATCTCAGCTGCTATCTAGATGAAGCTCCCAATGCCCTTTCCTCCATGCGGCTGTTAGTCACAGAGGTATGTGAAGGAGTGATTACTAATTAGTAGTTTGTCTACCGAGATATATGGCCTCCTGGGATCCACTTCCCTCCTCATGCAACATACAGGCCTAGAAAGTGAAGAGTTAGGGAAAACTGCCTATTAGTACAACTAACAGCTATAGGCTACGTTTGGGGTAATTGCTTACGACGCCACTCATCTGTGAGATACTGAGCATCGCTGCTTGAACTACTCTTGCCCTCAGTCTTTGTAGCAAGCTGAGTCCATTCCTGTTCCCCCTCTATTGCAGTCTGTGGGCCCTGGGTGTTCACGCTGTAAAGTGCCTCTGCAGTGGTCCATCGCTAAACTGCCGCGGTCCGATTTACCCGTTTTCATTAAATTGCATGCTCCAGTTGGCATAGTACTCAGTCCTGCCACAATGCCATGCACCATGTGAAAAGCAGACAGTGATTAAAGATTCCGTGTCATGACGAGTTTTAAGGTAAGAACGATGAAGATTCAGAACACGTGGGTTGCTGGTTAGAAATCTGCTGCGATTGAATCTCGACGTTTGGTTTCACATTAAACCGTGATTCAAGCCACACTGCACACAAAGCTCCCTGGTGCAATGAGATTGCACTCGTCTGACGTTCGTTGATTCCACAGTATTTGCTCCTAAATACAGTAAACATATTCGGGACAATGAAATTAAACTTGTTAGTCTTCATTTGGAAAATGATGCATAGCTCACTGGTTGTAATGTACTTGCACTTACCAACGTTTAGAATTTACCAAATTCCCAATTTAACTTACTACCCGCTTTCTGTGTAGTTGCGCACAATAGCTCAAAATCGGCTGAATTCCATGTTGCAAGATTTGGAAATGACTACTCAGCGAGCAGACGAGGAGGCGGATAGTGCTACCAAATTGCAAACCCAGGTATCACGTCTCACTTCGGAGTTGGCCCAACTGCGAACAAAACATGACAGAGAAGTGAATGAAAAAGGAGAAGAACTTGAGGAGACAAGGTTTGTCATCATTGCTTTGTTCACCTACCAGGAGAAAGATGAAGTCGCCGTGTGTATTTCAGTAGATGGTACCAATAGCCCTGTTACACCAAAGTACTTTTGCGGTGGTTGTTCATCTCTAGAAAGCGGTTCTTCTAACTTGCAGTCAGTAGGTTGGCACAACACACCTGAATGTTTGGATGACCAAACAAATTCACAAAAAATGTGTTGTGAGCTGAAGTAATCTCTTGCACTATTATCGATCACGAACGTGCACCGACCGAAGTCCGGACGCCAGAATCAGTGAGCCCATCCCCCACTGATTATGCAGCCGGAGAAGATGTGTAGAGACGGAATTGGGTGAATCTGGACACCGAACTGCCTCAGTAATCACAAGACAGTTGCCGGTTACCAGAAACCAAGTACTTAGATTAGTCCTTAAATGTCCTTATGAGCAACCAGCAGTCCCGCATTATCTGCCTACTGGAACCCCTCTTCATTCATCGATAACGCCGCCGATAGATAGTAAAACCTCCGTATGCTGACAACCCAAGAGACTGGACCAAAGTGGTCAACATAGAGATGTGGTCAACCTACGGAGGTTCTATGCCAAAACTTTGCGTAACCTACTTTCCCGTTGTGGGCAGTATAGCACAAATTTTATTTTCACACGAACCCGTTTCGAACACCTTAGACGAAGTCTCACGTAACAGAAAACGTAGGTCATATAGTGTTACAAGGAAACAAAACGCATGTGCATTTTGCAAGTTAAATCATTTTTCGAACAAAACGTACATGGTCTGTTATTTTTCTCTTAACACAAAGATAATTGAAGAAAGCACTCTCAGCAAACGCTACACACCTCAGCATGTTTGGACATTTTTCAAAGGCAAATAATTTCAGTTGCAATAAAAATTGTCTGACTTCATATTCATTTGGAGTTTCTGTGGTATCCAAATAATCGTCAATCAGTCTTACTTCATCAGTAAGAACAGATGTTTGTTCATAGTTTCCGTAGGGGAGTATCGCAGCCATTATCTCTTGGAAAATAGCATCTGGGTCTGATTCGGTGCAAAGTACCAAGTCACCGTCCATTCCAAGAAACGCATTAAAATCAATCCCGTCGAATCCTGAGATGGAATGTTTAGTAAGGCGACAGCAATCCGCTTGACAAATTGAACAAATCCAGCTTTTCTGAAACACTTTTGTATACTTTCTGACTGAACTTTGGACCAAGCGGAAGTTATCCAAAACACAAGATCCAAGGTATTTACCCAAGCAACAGAAGCAGTTTCTTCTACATTTGAATCTATGGTATGCAATTATGCCATAGCCCTTTGCATAAGCTTGGCTCGGTAGTTATTTTGAATATTTTGGTGAGCCATGGGTTCAGCGGTTGAATTAGTGAGATCATTTTTGGACGCAGAAACTTAAGTATAACATTTGCGAGATTTTATATATGGGTGTCACTAGGACAGTTGTCCACTGTTAGGATAATGAAGCGTTTCTTCTTCATTTCTTTGTCGACACTTCTGATCCACTCCTCAAATGTGGCAGCAGTACTCCACGTGGATTGGTTTGATCGTCAGGTGACTAAGCTTTCAGGATTTAGATTTTTGAACGCTGATTTAGCAGTGACTAAGGGTTTTGGCTTCACCCCAATTGAGCTGGCCCACAACAGAAGCGTGAAACGTTCTTTGGAATGTTTTTCACTTACCTTCGTCACCCTTTATAACAAGGTTTTCGTTGGACTTCGCCTTGTAAAAGAGACCGCACTCATCAGTGTTAAAAGTGTCGTTATTGTTGAGGCCTTTGCTGAAGTTAGAATCATTTTGGATAAAGTCTTAAACAAACTCTTCAGGCACTTCATTGGATTCACCACACAAACTCTGGGCAATGTCATGTCGGTGTTTGTAGTTCTCCAGCCAACAATTGGATGCCCGGAAATCTGCTACACCAAATTCTTGTAAGAAACTTACAGTCATTCCTTGAATCATCGGCCCAGAAATTTGAGCGTTAGCTATCCTATTTTGCTTGAAACAACGCAGCGTAGCCTTTTTGTCTTCATCGTGTGAAGTTTTTTACCTCACACTGTTGATCTCCTCATCCATTAGCCTATCTATCCAAGTAATCGTGTTTATGTTTCTGGAGATCGCTAATCCTCTCCTTCTAGGCCATCCCTCTGAGGTCTTTTCTCCAGGTCATAATGTAGAATTACTCCTAATGGCCGATCCTAATTTGTTCAGAGCACGGAGTGGATCGAAGGTCTACCGTTCTAGTTACGCAACATTAATTAGACTCGATAACTAACCCAAATTGGTTTCATCCCCATTCCGCCATCAATCAGAGCCGGATGAATGCTGGACCATTAGTGTGGGCCTAAACGTCAAGCAGGCCACAATCTAAGGTGCTAATGAACTGGTGCTTAGAGTTGTCAGTCACTTAAACTCCCGATTACGACCTGTGCCTTGAGTGGACACATGTTCTTAGGGGTAGACGAAGGACGGGTGAGGGAGGTTGAACCCAAATCGTTCTAGATCATTCCTTGGGCGCGGATCTGTAGGGACCCATATTGATCTAGGTAATACGCGTGAGCGTAAACGTTGACGGCTGGGGTAAACACGCACATACACATAAACATATTCACTAATTTGAGGGTCAAAAGTTCACGCATAGCAGTCCTGCTGCCACTCGGAAAGCACTAGTCAAATTATGGAGGTTGAATTATTGCTGACTGTCATAACGGTCAACTTACAACTTACAAAAGTGGTCAATATTCAGAGGTCTGGTACCATAGATTTTACACAGTGAGCGTCCTAGCTATGAGAAAATGGTCAAATTAGAGAGGTGGTCAACAAATAGAGGTGGTCAACTTTGGAGGTTTTACTGTATGTTCGAAAACATCCGGCTGTGACCTTAAGTAGACCAAACCGCAATCTACCTATCTGGTGCGACCCACATTTATGTTTCCGTTATGCATGTTTGTAAATGGTAAGAGTGCGCGAACTGAAGGCATTTCGCAAAAGCGGATGTCCGCTGTTTTATTGTTTGGAGTTAGTAAGAGCAAGAAAGGATAGTTTAATGTTGTATCTAAGACGGAACGTTTGTTTCGCATTTCAAAGCTTTGGAGTGATCCGGACGGCAGGTTACATGAAGTGATGAGAGTGCGAACCCTTGACTCTAGACAACCAGAACGAGCTTGGACCCCATGATTTTAAGGCCGTGATATCACGATGCAATTTCAATTTGTTCGTAGAACAACGTTGTTTACTGCGAATAGACATATGTTCACTTAAGCGCCTTTTTGAAGGCAGTTCGTAGTGTTGGTTTGACGCTCTGTTCACTGACCAATTTGCGGTACAGGAACGGTAGTTGTGTCGTGCCTCAAGCAAAAGAACGGTTACAAACACGTGGAGTAAATCCATCCACAGCAATCCTAATGCAGTTCTTGCATCTTTTTCACAATGTGTAACGACTACATTACCTTAATTGCGTTTTATTCTGCATGCAGACGGCGCCTGAATAGTCGGATTACGGAGCTAACCGAATCACAAGAACTTGAGCACAGTCGGGTAATCAGTCTGGAAAGAACAAAGAATCAATTGGCAAGCCAAATACAGGAGCTACAAAGCCAACTAGACACGGTAAGCACGTAGCGAACTAATCCCAGCATGCTCCACCATTATTACACTGCCCATTGTCTGTTTTATTTTGTCCATTTATGGCGTAGTTAAGAGCGCAGGATTTTAATTTTTCAAGTAATATGGCGATGAAAACCATTTTGAATTACATCAATGCGCTGCGCTAGGTATGCATTCCGTTTCCTAATCGCCATCGTGGGCAGCAGGAGGACACGTGATCTCAGAGTATTTCACCTACTCTCCTCCGAAAATACACATGGTAGTGAACGTGGTTAGAGCACCAGTTTATCAAGTCAAGCACATAGCACAAAGTGAAAATATGCACTAGCCATACGGTGGAAGCTAGCATGTCGATGGTGTGCTTTTTATTACAGACAATAGGTCCAATGGTTTGCTGTCTAGGTATCCAGGAATCGACCATTGAAAACGAAGAGAGAGAACACTTATTCTGATACAGTTTGCGATGTGGCTGCATATTCTTGTATTAGTGGACGAGTATCATATCCTTAGTTTTGTGAACACAATCAGTGTTGGATTGGGTTGGATTGTTTTCGGGTGAATTTTCCACCATCAACATGTGGAAGAATAGAACAATGGAACAATGGTATATGACGGGTAAAAAAGCATACACTTAACGAGTCCCGCAGGTTGGCAATAGAAATACTAACAAATTGGCAAACCACATAAGTGGTTGAAGTAAGGAGCATCAGTGAGATAAAAGGTAGAAGTATAACAGTTTTAGGGGGATAAAGTGGTACGACGCAAAACTGGCTAAGAAATTGTTATCGTTGGTGATGGTAGCAAATAAAAATGGAGTACTCACCGGTTCGCACAGATTTACGACCGTAAATTTGGGGTATAAATCCAAAGAGGCTGGTCAGCCTAAATATATACAAGCGTTTTCGTTCATAAAACAAAGCGCAGGGCGCTCAGCGCGACGTCCAATCGCTAGCGACAATCCGGGTAGCTATATTGCTCCACTATATTGATATAGGAGATTTCTCAGACCAATTGGTAACTGTTTCAACAGTTAGGCCAGTACGTAGGTCAGAATGTTTCTAGTTAGTGTAGAACCATTGCAAAACCGTTGTTGGCTTGCGTGAAATAAGTGTGGTGTCCCACGCAAACCAGTTAAACCGTGTGTTAATGCTGATCCAGACGTACCCAACTACTTGTTATTTGCGCTTCCATGATATGCCAAAGTACACGACACAATTAGAGGCGCATTTTGTTATTCAAATGTAGGTTCTGAACAATTCCGAAAGCACCCTAGAAAAAGAGAGATATCGGAGGACTAAGTGGTTTTGGAAATATCACCGAGTTAAAGAAACTGTGAAACAACCACGGTATTTGTAAACCATGCCCACTGATGATAAAAGCTGAAGCAGCATCCAGTATACGGAGGTGAACTGCGGGACTCCAGAAAGCCGCACATTTACTCAGCTGCTTTCTGCTTGATATGGTGATTGGAGCTGGTCGAAACCAGATGCCGCTCCCAAATAAGATGCAGTGCATTGCTTTGTACCATCTCCATAGTTGCGCAATATACTTATCGTTAATCTATCGCCCCCCGTTTCACTTAAGCTTTACGCACAATGTTCCGAACAAGCACAGGATTTGAAATCAATGGAAACTGAACGCAATGAGCTACAACAATTGTTGGAAGAATCGCAGAACGAAGAAGGTACATTGCGAGCCAAATCAGGACTATTGCAACGAGAGTTGGCCCAACTCAAATCGGCCAAGTCAGAGATGGAAGAGCGATTGCTTACAATGGAAAAAGAAGCAAGACAGAACGCAGGTAAGCTGGATAGAACATGAGGGTGGTAAGAAATTCGGTCGGTATGAGAATTTCCAGGTATTGTGCACCCTCTCATGGTTCATTAATGGTGTGTGTGTGTGTGTGTGTAGTGAGTGGGATTAATTGGTCAGTTATTGCGGTCCGCTGGGTATACGGTATCATGCTTGTCGAGGCGAACCCGTTGGCCAATACATACAATTGACCTGCTAAATGTAGTCAAAGCGATATCGATCAAGTACCTCAATCAGTGATTTGCAAGCAGAGTATGCTGTTTTAATTTCTCACTTGTAGTAGCCGTAAAGAGTATCCATTCGCATGGAGCACAAATGATGACCGAGTGTGGCTTCATTTTTCAGCTAACCCAATTGTATTTGTGAAGATGTCAATGAGCTGTGTAAGTCAAGTCAAGTCAAAATAAGCTTTATGAACCCTAATGAGTTCATTTTCGGCATTTACACCATCACTGCGGACACCTGGATGATAATATCAACATACATGCTTGGGTAGAATAGTGGGAAATAAGCAGAACTGTTTCTCCAACAATCGCCCACGCAGCATGTTAGTGACTTTCGCTGGGTAAACAAGCAAACGTGAGAGATAAGGCAAAACACTATTACGATATGATGACGTGCGGGAGAATAAAATGCTGGATTTCGAACGAGTAGAAGAGAAAGAGAGCGTTTTGGAAAGATCATTGTGAAGTGGATGCAATCAATCAGTTAGTATCTTAGAAGAAAATTCATTACAGGCATCAAGGTGTCTAGAAATGATCAAATCAACTAAAGCATCTTTAGACAAGCCGCAGCATCTAGAAATATGCTTTATAGTTCGCACCAATAAGATATAGTCTTTCTGAAGCAGCTCAGGGAAAATGGCAGGAGAGCAGCATAACCAATGGGGAATAATATGAAGTCACAAACTTGAATATTAAAGTACGAGGTACTGTAAGCACCTTAACTCTGAGGGCATAAAAAGAAAGTATTCTTACTTTTTTAAAAGTTTTACAGACATGCGTGGAGCAAAAAAGGATCTGGGACAACAAACACCGAGATACTTGACGGTGGAAGAGATGGGTATGGGATTTTCCTTCACAGTAAGTGTGGGGGAGAAAGCTATGAGGGACTGCAACTTATCGCCACGTAGAAAAGAAAATATTACATCCTTGAATTTAGAAGCATTAGGCATAAGATATCTGGATGAAGACCATTCCACCAGATCTTCCAACCCACGTTGAAGTGATGAGGAATCATGGTTAATGGGGGGACAGACATTCCAGCACAATTTCATTAGTATACTTATACCCTATAAACGTGGTTTGTATAGGGAGATGTTCAACATACAAGGAAAATAGAAAAGGTGATAGGATCGCTCCCTGTAGAACACCGCAGTCGGCACGGAGGACAGAGGATTTCTTACCGTTCAAATTCGTGAAGTGAGTACAATCTGTAAAATAGTCACGTAACAGATTAACACACCACGGTGAACTCTATTTTCGAATAGCAGGTGCAGCTACCTTGACCTATCCAGGCTTTCAGAGACATTCGATTAGTCCATGAAGGGAAGGATTACGTATTTACGTTTTTGATCTGATGCAGAGGCTATAGAATGAACAATATATGCCACTGCATCCAATGTGGAGCGCTGGGGTCTATAAGCAAATGCTAGATACCGTCTTCAGCAGTGGCTAAAAAATCCGCGGAGTTAACAGGCTTTCGAAAGCTTTTAGGAGCACAGACGTACATTCAATTGTGCGCTACTTTTGTGATCCAGTTGTTGGTGCTGGAGTGATACTGACTGTTCTCCGAATGTCCGGGATCACACCCGTAGAGAGGTATTTGTTAAAGAGATCTGTTAGAGGCACTGTGAGAGAATCACTCCTTCACACTCCTTCATAGCTAATGATGAGAGAGCATCCGGACCACAAGCTTTGGTCGCCTTTAATCTTTTGAGTTCCTTGTGGATGTTGCTTTGATTAAAGGACGCGACTGGACTTAAGTTAATGAAGGAGGGTAAGGAAGATGAGTTTAGTGAGGCGGAACTAAACTCCGAATTTAGTTTATCCACATCCACTTCACCGCTCTGACTACAAACACTCTTACCACAGAGCTGCTTCAGAATTCCCCATAGATCGCGACAGTTATGTTTGCCTACAGCTGCTTCGACATATAATTGGTTTAGTCTTTTTATCTCGGATTTACTTGCTGTGGTTAGGCTTTTGACACGGGTAGCATTCTAGACCTTGTAGGCCCATTCTTTCATCCTTCGAAGTCGCTTTAGTAGTGGGGATGAAAATCTATCCGCTCTTAGATAGATCGTTTCAACAGGGCAACACATGTCAAAGCAATATTTGATGTAGTCCGTAAGATGGTCACATTCGAGCAACAGGTCCTCGTCGTTGAAGACCGAAAAATCAGTTAAAGAAAATATCGTCTGGAGCCTTATGATATTTTCTAAGGAGCATATTCGCCGTTTGATAAGCTTGTAAGAACGTCTGGTCAGCGTTAAAAAGTTAGGCCTGCTGTATATGACTGGACACCGTGTTAAAATACAATGCTCGGAGCTGCTCAAAGGAGCCCGTTTTGGTATGGAAAGCAACTGTCATTTGTTTGTGAACACAGCGTCCAACTGGGTATCTTGTCTGGTCGAAACGGACCCAAGTTTCTTCAAGAATGTGGTATCCTTTCTATTAAAGTAGCCAGCAACGGTACAGATCAAACAACCTAATATAAGCAATAGCGTTGAAGAAAATTGGTCCCGAAAAAATTTTCAACTATGATGCAGATGTGTGAGAAGCAATGTATACGTTTCCAACGATGACTGATCGAAAGCCATTTAGGAACTTCAGTTTGCATTCAACTAAATAACAGCTTATAGAAATCGCTGACTAGGTGAATATTATGGTTACTGCGTTGCACCAACATTGATTAAGGTAAGTTTTAATACCACCACCAGGCAACTGGGGCTTCCCAGGACGGTCAGGCCTAATGGGAAAATAACCTTAGAGTTGAATTACCCCCATTTCCACATCAAAATGCAACCAGCTGTCTTGTAACAGTATGATTCCTGTATTAACGTACGTATTTCACTGCATAATGGCATTGAGATAACTGATTTTACCAAGGAGCGAGCGAATATTACTGGAAAGTATCAGTGGGACTTGCGCTTTGTCGACAGAACAACGACTGACGCCAGATGGCCAGCTAGCACGATGCTTGCGCTTTTTTCCAAGACATTTATTCGTAATATGTTTGCAAGTGTTCCTGACTTTATGACTTTATTCGATAAGGCACGGATTTAAGGCAGTAACATGTAACATTTTTAACTGGTTGATGGAGTATGACAACATTGACCTTGAGACTTGATCAGAAAAATACAAATTGCTTCAAAGTTAAACATAAAATATAGATTCCGCAGTCGGTAGTGTAAAATAATCCAATGAGAACAGCAACGGCCGAATTTGAAGGCCCCGCCAGCAATCGGTCAGGTAAGGTCAGATTCCGTCGACAACAGTAGCTGACACCACCTGAGTCGATCGGGTTAACCTCCGTTCGAATAAACGGAGGGAGTTCAGACTCTCAACCATTTTCACTTCAGTTCCCACTAGTTTGTATTTATCTCAAATAACCTTGCAAACGAATTTAACTGATATGATTTACCGAAAAGAGTCCATTTTGCAACCGCGTTTCGAATGCAAAAAGCGGTTGTCAGAAATTATCATATTCACCGTCGATAGACTTAAGCATAGAGCAGGGACTAGGAACCAAACAGCTGACCTCCAATAGTTAAGAACTTTTTCCTCGTAAATGTACACATTGCGGTTAAAAAGATTTGGTAGCTGAAATCACGCCTCATGCATAAACAATAGCATGTTTTTTTCATTGGTTTAAGAAAAATTACGGGATTCCAAAGAGCGGTTATCCACCATGAGCCGTCAGATAACCGATTTGGAAAGCTCTCGTGCCCGCCTGGAAGCCGAGCGAGATCACCTGGACAACACGTTAAAGGACACGGAAGACGCGTTGCACGAAATTGAGGTACAGTTGTTGAACGCTCTCAGTGTGATGGTAGTGCTAGCTTTTGTAAACGGAATTTCCTTTGCATCTACGCCATAAAATTCCGCTGTTCCAAACGTAGCAGGCGAAAAGAAAGAACTGTAGTTTTACTTATTTTCAACAAATATGGATTGTTAACTATTTCGGAAGGATTTAATGAAGCGCCACGGGAATTGACTATACCGTTTGCTGTCAACATTGTACTCAAATGTCGGACATGGTTCTAATAACTGGATTTCAGTTAGACATGCTTTACTCAATCCAACTAAGCTATGGCTACTCGAACGTAATTATTTTGACATGTGCATAATGTTGCTGTTAGCTCATTTCTACGACTAAACTCCTTAATAAATCTCACTGAAGTGAATTTTCCGTAGACTTTCACCTATTTGCAGTTATGACTAGTTTTTTACTCCAAATAATTTTCAGCAAAATCATTTAAACAGTTACCTCTTAACAGTAGTTTATTTGTTCGTCTCATACATCAGCATACTGTGGTCACTTTAACATTTTCGGAGGGATGTTCTTTCATATGAATACCTTCGCTGTGCTGCTTATAGATATGTTTCTTGACAGACAAAATATCAAACGGTGCACTCTGCCCTGATAAACTTGAGGAACGAGGTTGAAAGACAATCAAGAGATAAAGAGGAAGAGCTTGAAACATTGAGGTAAGCACATTTGTTGCGTTACATAACAAAGGCTTATTAGCAAACTGCTTTTGGTATATCCAGCACTTTTACTTAGCTCTTCATTAACAGTAGCATTGCGTTCATCGGCAGCTGTGTAACATCAAGTATCAACAATGTTTAACAGATTACCTGGTAGTATTATAATCCAATGGGCTGCTTGGTGCGGATGCTTTGTCGATAAGGGAGAACCCTGTCTTCTGCAAGGTATTAATGTGTATGACAGCGGAGGAAGAGATCTCTGAATCATAACAAGTAACTTGCTCATGTATTCTGGCCCCTTCACCCAAGAATCGGAGACTTAGTTCGCTGTCCGTAAATTGAAAGAACATGGGCTCTAGTCCCCGGTGAGTCTAGGTGGGAGGGACCGGTCGTCCGACCTTGATTCGAATTGTGCTGACCGTATTTTGTTGTGTATAGTTGTGTTGAAACGATGTGAATGGTGATAACAAACTCTACCAAGCTAGGTTAAGGGATTTGAAGACTTATCGATTTGTGCAAAGATTCAGTATTGTGCTTCATTTCGCCTAAATAGCAGCGGAGGAACTGGTGTGTCCTTGCTGATATTGACCAAAAACATCACGGGGAGATTGTAGCCTAGGCAAGCCTTGAATAGATTGATCTCTGCCAATTCTTTGAACTTGTCATTTCGTTTACCATTATTAGCGACCAAAGTGTTAATGGGATTTTAGGTTTTTCATCTACCCGCCTCCTACTTTTAGGACGAGCAAGTATTTACAATGCTTTCCTTCTGAAAGGAAAGTTGCATGATGTGTGAATGATGGGTGCACTGTACAGTTGGTATGCTGACGCAGTGTTGGTTCAGACCAAACAACTTAAATGTGTATGCTGGTGTCCCAAAAGCATAGCACTGGCTAAGCTTGACACACCAGTGGGAGCACATCGTAACCGTTTTTTGTCAAATGAAGCCCCATCAGTATACGCAGACTGCAAATTGTTTCCAGCGGAATAGCCAAGAGACTGTGAATTTAGTCGCAACTGTACAATGTACCCGGAGAGTTCCGGGGACTTAACTACAAAACATCATAGATTGTGGGTGGTCAGCTGGATACATCGCAGCTGCTAACCCTACCGGCGAGCATGGAATTCTTGCTAATACAATAACTATTGCGAAAGCAGAAAAATCGTGAAAACTGGGCTTGTTGTGACAGATCCAGTCTCGCGTATAAACGTCAGATTACTAAGGGTTTTAAGATAGAGAGATATGGTGATTTTTGGCTTCCACATTATGGGACCCTTTCGGACAATCTGTAAAGTGCAACTGGTCGAAGTGTATTAATTTGATGAATGCCACACGTATTCGGCAGCGGTTTTCAGGTTTCATGGCTCCAGTGTGGTTCATATTGCTTGTTGCGTTTGCAAAAGGCTTTGCCGCGTTCGTTTTACAAGTAAGAAACACGAGTCTTCAGAATGTTTGTAAGCGATACAATTCCCTCGAAAGGGTTGAGTTACGCCTTCCCACCGGAATCGAGTCGACAACAATTCCGAAAGTGGATGACCATACTCAGCCATTGCGCTTCCAATACTATCAGTAGTACGACGATCGGCAATTCTTCAGCGTAGACAGTAGATTAGGCTTCAAACGGCGACTGTACAAGCGAGTGCAATTCACGAGGTTTGAAACAATGGGGTAGGGTAACCACACTACAGCCACGGTGCACCGTGCTATAAATATGTGGACTAGATCGCCGGATGGGTTGTACAAGCCTAAAGCACAACCAATATGAAGAGATCAAATATAGCAAGAGAGCACAAGACACGAAGGAATGACCTGGGTGACCCACAGAAACATTCAGCTTATTGAAGATAATACGAAATACGATAATGGTAGGGGGAATATTATGCATGAAAGTATCCAGACTGAATGAGATTATGGCAAGATCCTGTTGTGATCTACGACAGCTGTATGCATAGATCAAGAATGGAATCCGAATTACAGCAGCCCCACGGGGTGCGGTCGGGTTGTCGCAATGCCAGGATTGGGATCGGGAGGCATATTCAGTGTTGGGATGTATGGCATCATAACGCTCCAAATGGTGTCCTTTTTAGTACCGATCGCAGGTGGGCGAAAGTGCGTGCATGGCTCATCTGTGGACTTTTGTGGTGCCCTGGACATGTACTCTTTTTATCCCAATGTACCCGGCATTGATTTTATGTTCATTTAAAGATGAACATGGTCAACGGTTGTGCGATTCTTGTCAGACGTCATCAAACTGTTTATCTTTGCACCGGCGCGTTGACTTGACAGCAATGGCTGACGCCGTGTCTCCCAGCAAAAGCTGGGCCCACCAGATACATTGCTGTGTCGCATGACAACTGTATACTCGTCGTATGGAGTAGCTTTGAGCACACCCTATGTGAACGCTATGAATGTTCCTGCTAGTCGGTGACCAGCCCTAGGTTACTAACTTTGGAAGACTACCGATTGTTGTCAGTGGGAACGCAGCACACTGGCACCGAGAGACGGATCGACTACAAAGACGGTTTAACTGCAAAAGCTACTACGGCCTGTAGTGCTGCTACAGTACGCTCTACACTAGCAATTAAACTTGTCCTCGCCATTGATTCCTCATGACTCCCGCTCACTTTGAGATCAATGTAAGAAGGTATGTGCTTGCTTCTGATTGGCTACCTTTTTGCGCCTGCATGGCTTTAAGTGTTGAAACTGCTATTACCTGTCCATAGTGTTCAAACATTCATTTACTGTTCTGCTTTCACTGACACAACACTGCCTCACCATCATTTTGTTTTGGTGAGCGACGGCTAGTGCCATTGCTGATTAACTCCTATATTCGCCCTCACGTTGAATATGCAATTCAGGCCTGGTGTCCATGGTTAAAACGAGACATTTGCCTATTGGAACAACCCCAAAGAAGAGCCACAAAGGCAACGCGTGGACTATCCGGTCTACGTTATGAACTACGTCTTCGTGTACTCGGTGTGTTCTCATTAGAATACCGACGGCTTCGCGGAGATTATACTCTCACATACTGGATACTATCTGAAAGCGAGCATCCATGTACATCACTGTTGACTCTAGCCCCTTACAAGCAAAGTCGTGGCAACCACCTGAAACTAATGACGCAACACTCCCGTTTGAATTGTAGAAAGTATTTTTACTCACTTAGAATCTGTTCTCACTGGAATGCATTACCAAAATATATGGTGGACGCACCAGACATGACGACATTCGAAAAACTGTTAGAATTTCAGCTTAGTGCTAAACGCTACACAATATTTTGATAAAGTGCCATGGTATAACCACTGCTACTTCACGTTCCACGTTGGAACATTTTGCTTCTAATTTGCTTTTGCATATCCATCCTGTGGGTCTTGTAAAGTTATGCTTTTTACCCAGTCATAAATTACTGAACTATTGAACCATTGTGTGTTTGATATGACTGAGTGGATGGCATGTCCGATCGCATGCTCACCAAATACTCACAACATGGGATTACTCGATATCGATGTCACTACACCTACAATTGTTAGCTGCACCAATAATTCACGGTAATATACAAGGATTGCACCGTTCGTGGACAGTGTAAATGCTGAATGAGTGCGGGTTTACTCCGGACCAAGGCTTGTTCTCCGCTCAATCAATTCCAGGCCTATGCTGCGTTTTAGACACGGAATGTGTGTTCGTTAACGGTCCGTGCTTCCATTGTGTGGACTCAGGTGACAATGGCAGACAAATCCAGCGATGGATGTCGCCACCAGCGTTCGGAGTTACCGTACCAACATACATATAGACGTCTGCTGTCTATACACTCTAAGGTATAGAACAGTATTCAAGGTGGCATGAAACATGACTTATTCCGGGTACTCCCTTTGATAGAACGTTCTCCAGCACTGCGGACAAATACATATGTTTATTTATAGTAAGGGAAAAGATTCTAAGCAGCCAGGAGTACTATTTCCGATCCTCATCGCGCTAAACATGTTATTTGCGTTGTTTAATACTTGTAAGCATCAAGGTCAAAGTATTTCGTTAATCCAAAGCGAAATAAAAAGCCCTGTATTGTTAAAGCAGCCCATGAAGAGAGACATCTTTGTTTACATCAACCTTGCTATGTGTGCCGAAAGACTTACCGTGCAGCGCAATTCAAAACGTTACTTTGTCTACTTTTTACTTCACGTAGGCGATCCAGTCAACGAAATATTGATAACTTGAAAGCTGCTTTGGAAGGAACCGAGACGAAGTATCAAAATGAGATTGAGCGGATTAAAAAGAAAATGGACACGACAGTGGCCTCGTTCGAAGAACAATTAGAGGAAACTAAACGAGGACGAACGGAAGCGGAGCAAGCTGCGCACGATGCAGAGGAGCACGCAAGTCGGTTGGAGTATGAAATCGAACAATCAAATGGCCTATTGGCAGAAACATCGGCAGCACTACAGGTGATGCGGAGTTTACCGTACTGCGTGCTGCAATCCACTTTCTCACAAGCCCTATAACGATTGTTGTCGTATTGTTGTGTGTGGCAGGGTTTAGAGAGGAATGTGAAACAAGAAATGTTGGATCAGGCGGGAATTTTATGGGAACAAAAATGGGAAGTCACGAGGTCATAAATAATGTGAACACAGTGACTCCTTAGCGTTCAAAGCAGAGCATTTTCTTGATTTAGGCAGTCACATTAAGGAGGGCGGTGGTACTAAAGGTTTGACATATTAGGACGATGGGCACAGTGCACTGTTGGATGCTAACCGTGGTGAACTGTGTCCACCTTAATGTATGCTGGAGATCATGTATACGATTGCTTATGGAAGTCCAAAGTTTGATTCGTATCGTTGGTGGTAAAAGTGGAACCATCTGGTGAATTTACTGTACCGTGCGAACCTAAACTGCACGTGCACTGCTTCTTGTCCATCAGATAGATTTGGTGATACGCGACCTACTTAAGCGACGAGATGCGGGTCTTGAATTGGTTCGCAGTGTACTAGGCATAGGAATAAACGTTCACGGTGTATAACTGAATGAATCATGATAAGGGGCAACAGAATCTCATTTCGGATTATTGTTCAGCCGGTACCAAAAACGACAGCATTTGCCACCTACCTATGCGCATTTCATCATCAAAATAACCTTGGTACTCCGTCAAATGAAATGACCCATTCATCAGTTCTCTCAACTTGCTGTAGATAGTCAGTGGTTCCATGTTTAGTTTGGCGAATGATTACATGGTTGTCCTCCAAATGACATTCACTGCTTTGATTTAGTTGGTGATGAATATGCACAGTAGGACATGGATCTTCCCAAAAATTCCCCGTTTAGATCTGTTTGTGTGAATTTGTTCCAACCCCACCCACAATGATCCCTGAAGTGTTTACGGGAGAATACGCCTCTACTACAAAATTAGTTTCTCCGTGGAAAAGCACACATGTGTGCTTCTGACAAGTAAACATTAAGGAATACTTTGGTCTACATGATTCAGGAGCGATTTTATTCAAGGGAATGTCACAATTTGCCAACGATTGCAGGAGTGCTCTGAATTGCTTACAAATATGGAGTAAGCTGAGCTTAATTAGCCGATTGACCTTTCAGATGCTTCAATTAACCTATACTGAAGGACATGGCGTCAGTCGGGGTGTTCCACTTATCGACTAATTGGTGGTCACGTCGATCAAACAGTGGTTTTAACAAACTGTTAAAAAGTCAGCAAGTTCAGATTATTTCGGACAACACTCACATTCATTTCCGCTACGTATTACTGAATGTAGAGCCCAGTGGCAAGTGATACAATCGATGTGAAACGAAGATGCATATTCCGATCGCCATGCATTAGAATGGTATGATGGTTCGCCCGTCATTTAGAATCAGGTGTCTATGGAACATGGCACGATATTTGAAACACAGACATTGAATAAAGTGTTACTAGTATTTCCTCCTTGAGTCTCTTTTCAAGACAATGGGAGAGTAATCACGCTGCTTCGCAAGGTTTGTATTCAGCCTAGGCGCTTTACAAAAACGTATTTTTAAATCTCTTGTTCGATTATCAGGAGAAAAAGCCTGAGTCAAAATTACTGTTTTCCTGCTCATGGAATTGGTCTGGATTATGGTGCCGTCAATCCCTTTGGACGAATACAGAAAGTCGAAAACCGTCAAGTGGTTTCGACTAGCTGATGATGGGTCAACACGGTTATTAGTGCATGCCTAGAGGGTTAAATTTATTCGCTCTCAGGTTCTATGGTCCAGATCCAGGTACGTTGGTGAGTCTCACGCTTACGGAGGAAAACGAGTAGCCAGCTGCATGCTTGTCCAAACCGCTCAATACCAGGCAACACATGCCAGACAGTCTATGTTCAATACAACAAACAAAATCCACACAACTCGTGCTAGCATTGAGGTTTACAAGCTACTTACTCGCTTCAGCCTGGGATACTGCAGCATAAGATAAGAAAATATGAGAAAGAGTGACAGAATTGCTGTGAAGCAGATGCAGAGGTCATTTAGTAAACATCTGATCGGTAAACACTCTGCAATGAGTTATCGAGAACGTTGCAAGGAACTAAAACTGGAACCGCTTTGGATTCGACGATTGAAGCACAACTTGTTGTTGCTTTTCAACGAGCTACACCAAAGGACCCATTCCGAGCTCATCATTATCATCATCATTATACATGTCAGCTAGAGGTGGTGAATCACCTCCGCTATTGTACTGCAATACATGAAGGAAATACATACATACATACAAAACATAAAGGAAAAACAAATACGACAGTTGCATGCCAGCTGAAATACCAGCAACGGATAGGCATTGTTCCGGTAAGCTACCAGCCAGCTACTAGGCAAAATTTTTTTATTGTTTTACCCTACGAAATGAGATCGTAGATGGAGGAGGAGGAGGCTAAAACGGATGGGGAGTGACAAAGAAACTCTTAGCAGGAACGCCACTGAGGTCGGCTCCTAGCCATGTCAGCAAGTGTATCCAGCCAAACGTGTTCACCGTCTTTTGGACCCCAACCAGGGAGCCGTGAAGCTCCAACCGAGGCTAACTCCGAATTGAGGGACTTCATTCCTCTGGACCAAGTCATCGCTTGGCCACCCCTCCTCTTCTTCCATCCACATCCCCGGTGAGCAAACAACGCACTTCGTGGGAGTCGGTGGGCTGGCATATGCAACACGTGGCCCAGCCATTCGAGCCTGGTTCGTGAAATGACGGTGCTGAGCGGTTTGTTTCCTTTTCATGTGCCGTAAACAAGGCGTCGAACACGCTCGTTACTCACGCGGTGTTCCCACCAGATGTGAGCCAAACTGCGAAGGCACCGATGGTCGAACGTAACTAGCGTCTTCATGTCCGCCGATCTAAGGGGCCAGATTTCGCAACCTTACCGTAAGGTCGAACGTACCGCTGCATTGTACACTCTACCCTTCAGGACGAGAGTATTGTCGCGCCGCCGCCATAGGTGGCTAAGGTTAGCAAAAGTACTTCGAGCTTACGCTATACGGTTCCATTCCGATCTACTAACACTCAGATTACAAGATTGCTCAACTCCAACGCTTCGCAACAAAGAATTAACATTGAATATACCAAAGGCTAGAACGAACGTGCACTCTAATTTCTTTCTGGTCAGATACAGCTATCTGTGAAATAAACTATTAATAACACTCAGGTCATGTGACATTGTGGCAACATTATGATGCAGACTCTCCAGTTACCTTGAGCTAACTAGCAATATCTCTATATTCACATCAGAAAATCCCTCGATGAGCTATTCCAAGATGGGCTGAAAAATATTCTCATCATTATCAGTACACGTTAGCTGAGGGTGAGAAACACACCTCAGCTAATGTAACGCAATACAAAAAAGAGACTAAAATATTACACCGTAGAAATGATTCCAAGAAGTAATATCATGTTAAATATTATATTATACGTTGGATCGAGATCGGGATTGAAGAGGGAATCTAAAGGGGAGGGCGATGGAAAAAGAAACTCAAAACATCGAAAAACCGACGTTTCCAAACCTAGGCTTTGGCCTCAACCATCCGCTATAACGTTACTACACGAAATGCGTAGCCCAATGTTCCACATATGCACGTCACCCATGCAAGAACATAGATAATTCTGTACCAAATGATCCATGCCGCTACAAAGTTTCTCGCATCAAGAGAATTATTATTATTATTAACCCACGGTTAATAATTATGAACAAGTATGGACAACAGGAACATCATAAGTAATGTTATGTAGCCTTCTAACAGACAGACAACATGTTGTTGTCTTGTTTTTGCAACACAGATCTCTAATAATCAAAATCGATGCCATTATAAACAGATTTGAATGCAAACTGGCAGTTAACTTGCTAAACGCTCCCCTTTCAGAAGGCAACTATTTAGACATATGTGTTTGAAGCAACTGTTTTAACGCATTTTGTGTGAATGTACAAAGTGAAGCCTAATATCTGACTTCTGTTATTTCAGATGAGCGAAAATCGACGCTCAACATTGGCAGACGAAGTGGAGAGTTTACGTAATCAACTGGAGCTCATTGAACGCCTTAAGCGAAAGTGTGAAGAGGAGGCTGCGGAAAATGTCGCACGAATCGGTGATTTGAATAGTCAAATCAGTAACTTCACGAACGAACGTAGGAAGCTTGAGGGTCAAATAGCTGTTCTTCAAGGTGATCTGGATGACGCTGTTGGAGCAAAAGAGGTAAACCGGTCTAGGTTCGCAATCTTTTGTGCGCATTTTATCCAGTGACATTGGGCCAATAGATGTATTAAGAATTTTGAGTTCGTCGCAATCAGCCGACCATTCAGATAAGTCAAGTTCTAAGCCAGAAAAGCACCAGACGGCCGTTTCGCTTTAACGCCGCTCGTCAGTGGTACACATCCTTCAGTCCTCTTCCGAGGATCGAACCCATGACTGTTGGTGGATTGCGCCAACTAGCCCGCAGCTTATGCCAATGATCCATGGGGGACGGTAGTCTACCATCATGAAGTGTTAGCTAACTGCGATATAGCCGGACCTATCCTCCACTACCCTGCAGATGACAGCGGTTGGCCTTCCGGCTTCAGAACTTCCCGGTTACGGCAGCTATGAATCGACATAGCATTTATGAATTCTGTAATACCAAATCGCCCTTACGGAATTCGTAAATGCTGTGTCAATTCACAGCTGTCGTAACCGGAAAGTCCTGACGCCGGAAGGCCAACCGCTGCCATCTGCATGGCAGTGGAGGATGGGTCCGGCTATATCGCAGTTAGCTAACAATTCATGATGGTCGGTTACGGTCCCCCATAAGCAGCAGGCATACTGCAGACCGGCGATAGTTGTGTTTCTCGATTTTAAGAGTGCTTTCGATTCTGTTCGAAATAGTTGCGCAGAAAGGTGCTCCCACGAAATATGTGAACACCCTATGTGCTCTGCCCTCGAACGCTACAGGCCGCGTCAGGGTCTACCGTGGCCTATCGAATAGCTTTCCGACAACAAGTGGCGTTCGTCAGGGTTGTCGGATTTCCCCGTTTTTGTTCAATTTCGCTGTGGATTCTATCATGGAGTGTTCCCTTGCGGAATCTCACGATGTAGGCGTTGAAATCCTGCCTTGTGAAAGATTAGTTGATCTCGAGTATGCAGACGATATTGTCTTGCTTTTCCACGACGTTGCGGCGGCACAATCAACCCTGAATAATTTGCCTAGAGTGGTCTCATTATTTGGTATGTACTTCGCACCTTTAAAATACAAAGTGTTGCTGCAAGATCACCAGCCACTTGGTGACCCATTGACCCTTGCTAACGAGGAACACGAAGTGGTTAATCAATTCACTTATCTTGGCAGCTGCACCAAAAACGATAGGCGCGTAGAAACTGAAGTCAGTTCACACATTTCGAAAGCCAGAGCTATCTTCTTGAACCTGCAGCATCATTGGCGATAGAAGGGAGTTTCCCTCCCTCTGAAAGGCCGTATATATAAGGCCACGGTGAGGGCCTTTCCGAGCTGTGGTAGTGACACTCGGTCCGTCCGGTCTGAAGATCTGAGGCGCCTACAAGTCTTTGCTCACCGTTGTCTACGAAGCACTGCTGGTGTCGGATGGCGCTAGCGTATCCGCAAGGTTGATGTGCGTAGGCAAGTACTAGGCGGTGAGAATCATGCTAGCTCCCTAGTACAACAGCCAGCACTGAAGAAATTGCGTTGGCTTGGGCATGTGTTACGTATGCCTGGTCACCGCTTACCTAGGAGCGCCTGGTTTAGTCTGCCAGGTGTAGGGTGTCGCAAAGCTGGAGGTGGACAGAAGTTGACTTGGCAGCGGGAAATGAAGTTACTGACGATCAAACTGGGTGCAATTGGTCCGTCTCGCCTTCCGGGCTGGAGTCCACGTGACTCGCCTTGTGCATGGCTCGAGACTTCACAGGACATGGCTCGCAACCGATACCAGTGGTGCGCCTGCCGCCGTCTCCTAACCGGATTGCATGTTTAGAATGTGTTTGGTACTGAGTTATCTGCGGAGTACTGGCTGATTATGACGTACGGCAGTGAAAGCTGTTTCGCTGATGCCGCCTTATCATTGCACGATAGCCACCTTTGGTGACGGTATGTTGTCTACACAAGGTGTAGGTGTCTTGACCCAGAATGTTTGCTTACGGCATTAGGGTTTTCAGGTAAGACCCCCTTCTCTCCCCTGTATTATTCTTTATTTCATAGGTCATCATGGTTGTATGACAGCGAAGCATCAGTTCAAATTGCTGATGTACTGCTGTTGTTTCCTTTTACCGTCCCCCATGGCTCAGTGGCATAAGCTGCGGGTTAGTTGGCGCAAGCCATTAGCAGTCATGTTTTCGATCCTCGGAAGAGGACTGAAGGATGCGCACCACTGACGATCCGCAATGAGGCGAAACGGTCTTCTGGTGCTTTTCCGGATTGGTAGTTATCCGAATTTTCGGTCTATTGCGATGACCACAAAATACTCGTCAAAATCCTTCTCATCATTCTGCACATGTTAGCTAGAGAGCTAAAGCACCTCAGCTACTATGCTGCATTATATACAAAAGAAAAAAGAAAATCAATGCAACAGTTGTATGCCAGCGGAGCCACCAGCAGCGGATGGGCATCGTTCCGGAAAATTAGCAGCCGGCTACAAGGCAACAAGAAAAATTATTATGTAAAATTATATTACGCTACGAAATGAGATCTTGGTTGGAGGGGAGGCTAAAAGGGATGGGGAGGGACAAAGAAACTCACAGCACGAAAGCCACTGAGGTCGGCTCCTAGCCATGTCAGCAAATGTATATGGCCAAACGGGCTTATCATCTTTTGGACCCCAACCAGGGAGCCGAGACTCTCCAACCGAGGCCAGCTCCTAACTGAGAGCCTTCATTCCTCTCGACCAAGTAATCGCTTGGCCACCCCTCCTCTTTTTCCATCCACATCCCCGGTGAGCAAACGACGCACGTCGCGGGAGTCGGTGGGCTGGCATATGCAACACGTGGCCCAGCCATCGGAGCCTGGTGCGTGAAATGACGGTGCTGAGCGATTCATTCCGTTTTCCTGGGCCGTAAACAAGGCGTCGAACACGCTCGTTGCTCACGCGGTGTTCCCACCAGATGTGAGCCAAACTGCGAAGACATCGATGGTGGAAGGTAACTGGTCTCTTTATGTCTGCTGATCTAAGGGACCAGATTTCGCAACCGTACAGTAAGGTCAAACGTACCGCTCCAAAACCCTTCTACACATAAGTAACATATATTAAGTGTGTACATGCGAGCATCACGCCAAGTTGAATGCACTTTGTGGATAACTGCACCGCACACATTTGAAGTAAGTTGTTCCCACCGAGTTTACCTTCCAGCCTTTAGTTTATCTGTTCTGAAGGCGAAATAACACTTTTGACAATGAATAAGGGTTAAGGCTACCCGGACTCGTACGAATGTGTGCAGTGATTATGGCTAGTTGGTACTTGCTCAGACTTCTAGTGTGAGCCTACTTCCTCCATTGGCCTGCGGCATTATATGGAGTGCAGGTAACATTGAATAACGCAAAAGCATGTAAACAGAGCTGGCGGAAAAATGTGAGCGACAGCAGATGTGCTCCAAACTGCTAGAATAAACTAAACCGTGTGGATATCTAGGGGATGCATGGTGATCGCCAGTGAGCAAGTTATTACTACACGCCCTGGGGTGCCCCTAAAGCCGCCTGATGTTGACCCGTCTGCTAATCAATGACACATAGTTCCATTTCCGCTCTTAGTCCAAATGTTATTTGTTCCCATGAGAATGCGTCCGTAATTCAGCACTTTTCTCTGACTGTCATTTGGTTTTAGTTTCTAACTAGTTTCACTGCGGTTGATCATCTTTTGCAATTAGAAAGACATGGCAGTAATTAGGACGCAGGTATAGTACAGTTTTTGAGCAACGTGGTTTGCTGAAATTCACCTTCACTCTGCTTCTAGACCATGCTGCTTAGCTCACACAAAAGGCAACTTGCTCGACGTTCTCTACTCTCAAGCACCGACCTTACTCATCGTTTCAGACGCATATCTAGGTTCAGGCTGTTGGTAGCGCTTAGGTTCAGTGACCTGCGGCCCATGGATGCGAGGGTCAATCGGGAACTGTTCACGAAGTCCAAGATTGTTCGCGGTTAATATATTTACAAGTACGGAAACGTCTGGATTCATGTGGCAAACCGTTTTGCATAGTTGAACCAACAAACTCGCGATGCATCCTTTAGTTTGTTTCCTAGTCCATAATGGCATTGGAGTTTTATCATAAAGGACGTTTCGTATTGCTTTTCCACGGTAATTAATCATCTGGTGGGAAGCGGATTCCCACTGCATCCCACTGTTTTCAGATCACATCTGGTGCTACGAAACTACACCCATCTTCAAAAGCCCCAGATTAAATCGTTGTTTTCTGATCTCATTTGTCATAGGTGGCGGATGAGAGAGGTGAACGTCTTCAGTCCGAGGTTACCAGATTAGTGCAAGAGTTGCAAACAGAGCAAGAGTCTGCTCGGCGCTCAGACACAGCACGCAGACACCTGGAAGCAGAACTCAAAGACGCCAATACAAAGTTACTGGAATTGAGGCACACCGTGGACTCGGCCGAGCGAGAAGTTGATGAGGCCAAAAATACGGCAGAGGCTAGAATGAGAGAGATGCAATTAGCACTGGAAGAAGAGTCCAAAAAAGCAAGAGACAGTCAGGTTCAGTTGAGGTGAGTCGGTAGCAAAATATGATCATACGAATGTGAGCCTAGAAAGCTCGGGGTATAAGCTGTTTAAAGATCACCATAGGCCTTAAGTACTGCCAACGGAATTACCAAGGGCTAATGCCGAAATTTAGATAGCAACGATTTGGAACGACAAAATGCCCAAACGGTGAATTCACACTCCCTTTATGCGGTAGCGGTGTGGCATCTAAGTTGATGTTTATAAACGTTGAATTCGATAACATAGCGCACAAGGACTCCGCCGCTAACCGTCACTTTCCGGGCTCAATCCTCATGTCCTGACATCTCAACATGGCGAGACCAAGCAAGGATGAAACGAGTCGCAGAGTGTAGTGCTAGAAACGAAAGACCCCGTAGGCATGTACTAGCATCAGTCCAAGGAACACACATAGCGCTAGTGACACCGTAGCTCCAACCGGAGCGGAATTAGTTCGCACAATTATTACCTAATGGTAAGCGACGGTGGTCGGATAATGGCGCTAAATGGCCCAATTAAGGGCGATGTAACGTGTTCCATGGTGACATATAGACAAAGCACATCATTGTACTTAGCATTCTAAAGAGTGGTGGTAGCATGCTCGCGTAGATAACCCCAAAACAAACCTGAATGAACGTGTGGATAAAACCAAGTAGAGAATTGACTTGGATTAGCACAAACAATGCTCAAACGGATGTCACGAGGGAAACAACTGCAGAAAATGCGCTGCGATTTGAGTTATACACCTCTATGTACAACGGATTCTGATACAGGTTTATACATCATTTTGATTCTCGGAGAGCTGTCTTGACACCTCCCACTCTAGAACTTGGACGCAAGTGTATCTAATCATTGGGGTCTCGCTCAACATGCACATCTCATTTGCAGAAAATGTGAACGCTCTCTAAAAGAATCCATGCAAGCCGAAGAGGATGCTCGGCGGATGATCAACGAGTTGAGGGAATTGACAGATAGAACCCAAGTGAAACTTCGTCAGACGAGGAGGCAACTTGAAGAAGCGGTGAGTTAAATTCCAGTCATTTTCTACTGCAACACCCATCAGGTCCCCTAGAAGTTATAGTGCAAGTCATTCAATCCGGAACAGACCGGATTTAAATCAGATGGCGAATCGGGTCTACAAATCCGGAATTGCAACGTATTAACATTATATCATCCAAGAGAACAAGCGGATATCCCCATCTCAGCAAAATATTGGCAAATATAAAGGGTTTCTGTATTGTAGTTTATACCTCCATCTGACAATTGAGAGTAACCAGGTTTGGTGATTAGGCGACACACAAGTAAGATTGCCGACTGGATACCGTGGCTTCAACAACCTCGGGGCACACAATTTCACATGGTTCCACCCAATGGTGCTTCGCTTATTTGCTGGGTTGTACTTTATTTGCTCCACGTATTCATTACTTGGTCGTCAATGTCTACGCCTTATGCTACCGTTTCTGGCAGATATCTGGGTAGATTGAAATGTACATTCTGTCTCCTCATGGCAACACGTGTACTGTGCGACAAATAAATAATAAATTGGCGCTACTAAATATACTTTAGATGCTCTGTTAATTTTATGAGCCCTCACTCAGAACTTATTGATTTGTGTCAAATCAATCACCGTTATGTGGTTTCCAAATGATCATTCTACCAAGGTAAGCGATGAGGAATGGTTTGAAAGATGTGGTAAGCTACCTTGTCAGTATGAGTTGCTGAACTCCAGTGGGCCTCTTTTGCCAAAAATACTCAACCAGCTGGAGCGTATCTGACAGGACCCCACCAAAACAAAAATAACACAAAGCAAAAAGTAACAATTCTAATGGAGCAATAATCACATGCATGATCGACTTTAGCGGCCGTTCGTCTTCAAACGAACGATCACACAAAGCCTCCGTTTCAACCTCTCACTACAGTAGCAGAAGTGTCGGATTCGAATTAAGATAAAAAGTCTACATTGCGCAGAATAAATTTTGGTACCTCGATTGTATCTCACCGCTGGTGGTTACGAGTTGTCCACTTTTCACTATCACAGTACGCGTGCGAGTACTTATCAATATTCCCTGTCTGGATGACGCAGTAAAACGAATACTGCCACAAATTACTACCGTCTCTTCACAGTTGTTTACTTTGTGAACTATAGACACAGTGTCCTCTCACCGTCTAGTAGAATGTAAACTTCTAAGAGGAAGAAACTGTCTGGTCTGTTTACCATCTCAGATGCGTCGCATCGTCTCTGACACAGCTAACTGCCAAATGCTTTCCGTGTCTCAGTATCCCGCTGGTAATGACAGTCTAGACATTCACATAGTGAGAGGTGCACAGTATCAGTATGGATTCCAGATGACAGAAATTCCTCAGATCAACACCAACTTGTGCATAGTCTTGCTAGTTAAATTCGGTGGGACACCGAATTGGTACAATGGAAATAGGTATCTGAATGGCACTACCACTTTCTCTAGGTATCGTATACTTGAAATTTTATGTGTACAGGCTACCGATGAATTTTTGGAGTTCAGTGATACCGCTTGTAAAATTCTGCTAGTCTGGACACCGAATGCCCAGTTTCACTAGGCTTTCATTCTGTCTCCACTTATCTTCAGGAATCCTCTGCACAATCTGCAATGAACAAATATCGGAAGGCACAACAGCAACTCGACGACGCACACTTACGGGCGCAAATGGCAGAAAGACGTCTGGGTATGGGCCAAAATGATGAAACTATGGCTACATATGGAACGATCGGTCGCAACCGAACAAATGCAAGTTTTAACTCCCGAACCAGAGCCTCCTCAATCGCCCGTGAAGGTTCCATATACAGCACTGTCAGTGAAGTACCTCAGTCAACGTGGAAACCGCGATTTAGCGCTGGCAGCGTGAAATTTGCTCGTCGCGCAGACTCTTCTAACTATCCGAGAGACACTGGAAGTTCACTCAGCCTACTGGACTTACCACCGGCTGAAACAAATGGACATAGTGGCCAATTCTAGGCAGTGCATCTAGGGAACACCTAGTGATGATGTTTACACTTTTCGATATTCCCTTTGCCTAAGTTCCGGTCAACAACTTAGGTGCTTTGATAAAGCCCCCCCTTTTTTACCTTCTACAGTGCCATAAGCTCTTCCATATAGTGAGCATCACCTGCCGAACTCCACATACCCTTGCTATGCACCACATAAATGTTAGGCAATATGCAACAGCCCCCATTTGCATCCATAGAACATCCTACTTTGCGAAGCGAAGAGGCCAGTCCCATTGTTACGGGGACGATCCACACTTTTTCCATGTTTGTAGTACGGCCCAATCCCGATGCGTTGCATCCCAACGTCTTTTGTACATCCCAAAACCAAAGACCTATACTCCCAAATCGCAGTTGTTTTGCGAACTGATAGCAGCAGCCAATCTAAATTACAAGTAAAATTCTCCTACTCACCAGTGGTATAAAATGTAGCCTCTCCTAGTTTCAAAAGATATGGACGTAGCGTCCAGTGAGAGGACGCCATGAGTTGGAGGCTAGCCACTGTCATCTGCAATGGTAGTAACCTGTGTGGTAGTGGAAGATAGATGGTGCTATTCCCCAGTTAGTTTGAAAATTATACAGCCTCTGTCGTTCCCCATGGCTCAGTGGCTTAAGCGGCTGGTTAGTGGGCGTCAGCCTCTAGCGGTCATGGGTTCGATTCCCAATAGGGGACCGAGGGAAGGCGCACCATTGACGAGCCCCGAGAGGGCGAAACGTGTCTGGTGCTTTTCCGGATTGACTGAGCTATGCAGCTTGTAAGCTGCCGGGTGAACCCATTAAAATTACAACTAAAATCTTCCTACTCATAAGTTATGCTCCTCTTGGTCAAAGCGCTCAGCACCATTGTAAGGAAAGCAGAAGTAAGAAAAACCTAATTGGAAAAACAAGGCAACTTATGTTAACTAGTTGCGAGTATGGAAATTTCGAAACGGTTTTTCTGAGGGTTCTTTGCAGCAGCTCCAAGATAGCCATCCCTTAAGCAGCAGGAAGAGAACCTCATGCCTCATCGAGGTTTACTAGTAACGTGCATACCCAGTGAACTCTAGAAAGCGGCAGATCGTCACAACATAAAAGCTAACGCTATATAGCGCAGAAGTGAGACTAATATCCTGCTTCACTGTTCGCGGTCAATTATCCTGGTGCGACGGCAGTCAATGCGGACTGCTTCACCCGAAATTCTGGCACTCTGTTGCCTATTATTTAGCGTAAGACATGTAGGAGCTGCACAGAACTATTTTTATAAGCCCAGTTGCTCAGTGCTGCAGTCGAAGGTGCGCGAACCTTGCTCCTTAGCTACAGCTGGATCCAACCGACTTACTCAAGCTCAGTCGGCTTCAAGTAAAGCTTGTTGCTTCTCCACCGATTATTGTAGTTTGATTTGTGGATCTATACCGTTCATCAGTGCATTTATACGGTGATTCAAAGAGTTCGACACCGGAACACCTACCGGCATTCGATTACGTACACGAAAGAGAGAACGTTGAGAAGCTGCACACCGTCTCTTGACAAGGAGATAGCGGTACATATGAATTGGCGGAAAGCATTTCGCTCGCCAAGTGGTAGGTGGAATCACGCGTCAGCGAGGACTGTTAGTTTATGTGAGGCATGAAGAATACTAGTATTTGCCTCATATTCAAGCTATCGTGGCTTACAACCACCGAGTTGATGAAAGCAACCCGGTGCATGTGTGGCTTCTGCGTATGAGGTTACTTTCTGAGAGGACCGATCACATGCCCGTTAGTTCAGTATACCTTCCGTCTCGGTCCCATTAACGATGTCTAACCCACGCCATATATCCAAGCCGCGTCGAGTCTGATCAAGCTTGCCGCTGACAAATCGCGTCCATCCTACATGACCGGAGACTCATTAAATCGTAAATGTGTATTACTCACATTCGACCATATGGCAACTCGGAACTAAATAGATGGTGCGTGATTACGGATTACTCTCACCTTTAGTTTCGAACCAGACATGTGGATAACGTTCGCACGTCTAATTGTTCAACGTACACCCCTGATACACATCACAAATAGGCCACTGCGCATATAATTTAGCTCGTATGAAGTTGTGCCGGTGCCGACGAGATCCCGCCTGAAATATCGAGAAACGGCGGACCCGCGTTGGTAAATGCGATGCACTACTTGGTGCAACGCCTGTGTATTGAGGACCAGGTGCCGCCTGAGCTGAAACATGCCCGTGTGCTCTCACTGTACAAGCGAAAGGGAAACAAGCAACGTAGCACCAGTTATAGTGGGAGCAACTTGAGTTGTTTTTGAAGGTGGTTTCAGACGTTTCGTCAGCCAGGTTGTGGAACCGAACTTGGCGGAAGAGGAATGTGGATTCCGTTCGGGACGCAGCACCATCAGTATGGTTTTTGCGACTCATCAGTTGCAAGAGGCGTGCAGAGAGTGACACCAGCCGTATTACGCGCTGTTTGATACGGTGAACCGCGAGGCAGTATGGCTGGTGTTGGGTAATCTTGGTTGTCCGCGTAAGTTTAATTGACTGTCTGCACAGCGAACAATGATTTATCATGAGTAAAGAGCATGTGCTTACCAAGTCCCGTAGGATGGTTGGAGTAAAAATTAAAATTGAAATAATCAACGAATAAGTAAATCTTCATTCTAATCGTCTACCGATTTAAAATGCACTACTGCATAACTATAGTTTGAAGTCGGAATTGGATGTGCACACACAAACTAGTATAGAGCGCCGCAATAGTTCAGTAAAGGCGTGAGAAATAAAAAAGGCACCGACAACGCACATTCGTGTTTTGCTTCCTTTGACAGATGCCTTATATTAATCCAGTTTAGATACATCCATGCTACTCACAAGGACCTTATGCATGTATCTTCATCGCCACGTTGCGGAGCGCGCCGTTAGGCACATGATTTGAATCGCGTTATTTCGTTCTCCGAGTGAAACAAATGACATCAAATAACACATGTTGGATAGCGTGTCAGTAAGATGATTTTTGAATACCGTTAACGTAGGAGCAAGGATGACGTGAGTCGGAGGAAACGTTTCGTCGACAGTCAAATCGACTGTAGTGCGTAGCCAGTTTGAACTGATGGCCTCTCAGGTTGGTATTTGGCTCAGCCGCAACAGATTGCGGCATGGGTGAATGAGATTCGTCAGTATTAAGTAAACCATGATGAGGTCTTCTCGCTGACGTTGATATTCACCACTGTGCAATCTCAGAGAGTGCAGTCTGCACTGGTAGGAGAAATGCTGTGTGGTCATGCCAGGACTCGCTTTACCGCAGAAGATAGGCACTGATCCATTTCCAAGGTGGACATTGGAGGGTTGTTAACTATTGCTAGTAAGCACTCCGCATCCCGTCTTAGGTGCGTATGACACCAAAGAGCGTCGAGGAATTGAGTTTCTTGGTTTTCAATGACGTCAATCTGCTTGTCGGATTGATACTACAGGAGCACATCGCATCCTCTGTTTGGTCGATCGTTTCGTATGGAAGTCATGCGGGGTAGAGCAATCTCAGTATCGGTGATCTCTGTGTTCAGCCATGTTTCAGTGATCATAACTAGGTCCCAAGTTGTAGAGACCTGATGAATACGAAGTTCGGCTAGCTTGCTGAGAAGGCCTTGTGCATTGGTATACAAGCAGGTGAGGGCATCGGTTGTTAGGAGTATGTTTGTGAATGCTGATTTCCCGTGAGGGTCTATGCCGACTATTGCGGGGTTGGCTGCCGGTCGTCTTTTTGTAGGACCGATGACGCAGGCCCTATGGCCAGTTCAGGTTGCTGTATAGAGTTTTCAGTGCTAGCAAGAGAGTGGCCATCCTGTCCTCCTTCAGCTGCCGGTGATAGAATTGTAATGATAAATTGCCAGCACAGTGTTACCTTATCTATATGTGGCCCGGTGTCTTTCGCCTTTACACGTATTTCGGATGACAGCATTTTAAGTTTTTGTGCCATATTTTGATCTCATGTTCTGCCATCAGTTTGGAGTGCAATGACACTTTCATCACTCGGGGATCACATCTTTTGTAGGTAGGTGATGGTGGTAATCTTGATGTCGAATTAGCAGTAACATTTTCAAGTGAGAGCCTTTCATGTATAAAACGCCGTTCATCCCAGTCATGCATTCTGGCCTCTAGCTCATTTAATGTCTGGAGCTCAGGGACACCATGAACGAAGAGAGATGTCGCATCTTGTTGTTTACAGAAGTCATTTGGACTTTGTTTACGTTTCTGATGTTCGTTCCACGGAGCATCTGAAAGAATTTGTATAGTGCATGTGGTGGTACGGGGGCGAGTAGCTGACAAGAGAATTGCTTCTGCATCATTATCTGACTGAAGTGTTACCTGTAGTAACCGCTATTCACCGTAGTGTAGGGAGTTTGTGTGACGGACGAGACCCATCATACTGACTGGTTTAGCTCGAACCCCCAGTAATTGACACAGGGAGTCCCACTGCTTTTTGTCGTCTAGTATCTTATCTTTAATGGAGTTCGCGTCGGATTCAGTCACAGTAGAGCATATAACAGTCAGAGAATTATGGTAGTATTTCATGTTCTCCTTTTTGGAGGGACCAGTGGCTGCTTCTTCGGTTGGACAAATGATGGGGTATTGCAGGTCTTGGTACCACGGCTGTAGAAACGTATGATGTACCTTGTTATATTTGTATTATACTCAAGTAAGTACCTCATGATGGACGGTTGTCTTGGGTAATTTGTCAAGCTTGGATGCGCTAGGTAGGCGTACTTGTAGGATGTCAACCTCCGCAGTGGCGCCGTTCTTAAAATAGTGGACAAAGAAAACATGGTACATAGTCTTGGTGGAAGTGTAACGCTAAAAGAGCTGTTCTATCACAGAACGTCTTACAGCCCAGTTATCAACCTGTGTACGCATGTTTTCTCAGTGTTACATCACGGAAGTGTGAGTCGGTTATGAATTATTCATAGCTCACAACCGCATAATTCCTTGTGTAGTTGCTTTGGAATCGCGCAAGACACGGAGTATGAGGTTGGAGCTGTGTGCGACGGAAGACAAGTCACTCATGTTTCCCTTGTTTGCGAAGGTGCAATGCGTCATTTCACAGTCATCGAGACAGGTAATCATGAAAACAGATAGCTTTGGCCCAAGGAAGTAATTGGCTCTTGGTACATGCAGTTCCTTGAGGATTTTAGGGCCTCAGCTTAGTTCGGATCTACTGACCTTCCCTTAGGTGAAAGATGCCGAAAATACGCTTCTTCATTTCTAATACTTAATTATATACATTGATATACGGAGAGAAATATTAAGGTTACGTTTACCGGTTAGGCACAAGTTCAGTTATAAATAAATAAATAAACAAACGTCCTATTCCTCAACAGTGCGAGGCACAG